GGCAGGCACAATCCTGTATCAGAATCTGGGTGCAAAAGCTCCACATATCGCCATGACGGTTTTGTCTACGGCATGCAGGGAAAGTATGCAGGAAATAACTACTAGGATTACTCTGAGGCACTCCTGGCAGTTGTCACTCAAGACAGCCCCAGTCAGATCAAGTAGTTATATGTGTATGAGTGGCAAGAAGGCCGTCTCTAGCCAGGTGCCAGTGGTTCACACCTATAATCCTAGCTACTCAGGAGGCAGAGATCAGGAGGATTGTGGTTCGAAGCCAGCCCATGCAAATAGTTCTTGGGACCATATCTTGAAAATACCCATCACAAAAAGGGCTAGTGGAGTGATTCAAAGCGAAGACCCTAAGTTCAAGCCCTATGGCAAAAAAAAAAAAAAAAAAAAAAAAGGCAGCCTCCAGCAGGGCATCAGTGACCCACACATTCAAGCCTAGCTACTTGGTAGGATCCTGGTTTGAGGCCAGCTGGGCAAATAGTTCCTGAGACCTCCATCTCCAAAATAACTAGAGCCAAATGGGCTGGGAGTGTGGCTCAAGCAGTAGAGCACCTGCTTTGCAATCGTGAAAGCCTTGAGTTCAAATTCAAGTTTCACCAAAAAACCCACAAAAGGTAGTCTAATCATGAGTTTACAGGGCTCTGTGTGAGCAGGATATCAACGATCCCACCTTCCACTTTCTCCCTTCCTTTCCTTGCCAAGGCCTGCACCTAGCATGTGGTTCACCAGCCTCAACTACCCCCTTGCTGGGGCCTTGGCGCAAGTGGTGCAAAAGCAAAAGAAACAAAAGGCCCATCCCCTTGAGGGCTGGGAGGTTGACCACATCCTGAAGGGGATCCTCATTCCCAGCCTAAACTCTCCTCACAACATCATCCTGTGTGCGCTCAGGGCACCTGAGATGGGGATACAGGGATGAGAATGTGTGAAGACCTCTCTGGCTTCAGTTTCTCATCTGTGAAATGCTGACAGTGAATTTGAGAAATGAAGTGACTTCTCCCCTGAAATCCTAGTTTCAGCTTATATAAGGAAGGCTCCTTAGTGATGCTGAGGTCTCTGGATTTGACTCTCCTGATCTGTAAGATGGAGGAAACATTTTGGTATTTTGGTCTTTGTGCAAGGAGAATTCCTTGTCACTTCAGGTACCCAATAAAGATGAGCCTGTGAAAATGGCTCTGAAAGGAAGAGGGCAGGGACTACCTCCATCTAGTTCTCTCTCTTATGTCCTGACAATGCTATCTTGGAGCGGGAGACGGGGTCTCAAGATCTCGAGATCCTCCTATATCAGCCTCCAGAGTTTTGGGATTATAGGGATGAACCACCATATGCAGCTCCTTTAAAAAAGTTTATTTATTAGCCAGGAGGTTTTTTTTTTGAGTTGGGGGGGTGGGACTGGGGTTTGAACTCAGGGGTTCATACTTGCCAAGAAGGCACTCTGCTGCTTGAGCTACATCTCCGTCTATTTTGCTTGGGTTATTTTGGAGATGGGGGTCTCAAGAACTATTTGTCAGACTGGCCTCAAACTGTGATTCACCTGATGTAAGCCTCTCAAGTAGCTAGTATTACAAGTATGGGCCCCCAGCACCCAGTTGCAAAGAGGATTTAAGTCAGGGAATTACATGATTTCATGAGCTTAAAAATTGTCACCTGGCTAGGTGCTGGTGGCTCACGCCTGTAATCATAGCTACTGAGGAGGCAGAGATCAGGGGATCTTAGTTTGAAGCCAGCCCAGGCAAATAGATTGTGAGACCCTATCTTGGAATAATAACCCATCACTAAAAATGAGCTGGTGAACTCAGGTGTAGGCCCTGAGTTCAAACCCCAATACTGAAAAAAAAAATTATCACCTGGATATTGCCATAGAGAGAAGAGACTGGAGGAAGGATGGTGGATGGAGGATGGAGAGGCTGTTGCTATAAGATCAGGGCAAACAGGGGTGGTAGGGCTGGAGAAGATCAAGAGGTGCCTGCCTACAGGGTCACATGTAGTGATCAGGGGTCAGGCAGAAGCAGGTGGTATCTTGACTCTCTCACTTGCAGATGTATGACCTTGGGCCAATCTTTTCTGTGATGTAGGGATCTTCACAGCACTGGCCTTGTAGGTCTGCTGGAAGACTGAGTACATTTAACAATTGTTGTCATTGGATGAGAGCTCCAAAAATGTTGGCCATTGACAGTATTTCTGGGGCCAGTGTTGTTTTCATGGGTACAACTAGGTCCATGGGCCTGAAACAGAAGAGAAGGATGTAGGTGGGAGACTCAGAATGGGTAGTTGTCCCTGTAGGCCAACAAGGAGCAGTGTTGGTACTCCTGAGGTTCAAGAATCTGTTGAGATGGGCTGGGATGTAGCTCGGTGGTACAGCGCTTGCCTTAGCATGCTTGAGACCCTGGGTTCGATCCCAGCACCAAAAAAAGACCAAAAAAAAAAAAAAAAGAATCTGTTGAGATGAGCCCAGGGATGCTGCTTGGCATCCTGCAGTGCACGGGATAGGCCCACAATGAACGATCCAGCCCCAAATGCTAGTAGTGCAACAGTTAAGAAGCCCTGGTGTAGACAGAGGATATAGTAGAAAGTATATGAGAATGGTGGCCAGGGGAGTGGGAAGAAAGACAAACTCAAATGCCTTAAACACATGACCAGGTGAGTGAAGTGGGTCAGGTGACCAGAGCACGGTCAGACCCTTTAGACCGGGCATGCCTGCAGTTTACCAGTCCCCAGGGTCCCCACTGCTCCCCCCACCATAAAATTGCTAAAGAAGAGGTCTAGGGTGGTGTTGTCCAGGAGAAATAGAATGTGAGCCATGTATACGATTTATTGGTTTATTAGTATATGTTAATTGCACAGTGTTTTCACTGTGACAGTTCATATACGCATATAAGATACCCTGATCACCCTCTCTATTACAGTTTTTAAAAATCTCCCTTCCCACCAATTGAAAATTTCTAGTAGTCATGCTTAAAAGTTAAATTTGACACAGTATGTGTTTCAAAATGTCATTCAATATAAACATTATCCTTAAGATAGTTTACATTTGCTTTTTTCCTCCTACTAAATCTTGGAAATTTGTTGGGAATTTTGCACTACAGCACATTTCAATGCAGACGAGGCATATCAAGTGTTGAGTGCCCACAGGGGGCCAATGGCTACATAGACAGCACACCTTTAGGGGAGTCTTAGTTTTAGCCTGCTGTCACAATTGTTGGCTCATTTGTGGGTTTTCTGGAGAAGGCAGGTACATTCTAAGGTACATTCCCACAAGTATCTAGGAATTTGAATTTTCAGGCTTTGAAAGTATTTCCCAAATAGAAAAAAAAAAAAAAAGCCCAACAACAACAAACCCTGAAAGTATTGCCTAGTGAAACGTTAGAAAAAATACTTTGTGGCCCACCCCAATAAATAGCTGCAGTTTTTCACCTGCAGACCTCCAGTTTGCAACTGGTTGAGGATGGTGTATCCAACTGTCCCATAGGGTTGGTAGCCAATTAGCCACTGTGGCTATGTAGATTTAAATTAACGGAAGTCAAATAAAATAGATACTTGATGGTGCTGAATGCCTGTAATCCCATCAATTCAGGAGGACTGCAGTTCCAGGCCACCAGGGCAAAGTTATCTGAAAAACTACTGAAAAAGCAAAAGGGTCGGGGTGGTGGTGGTGGGGGAAAGGCGTGGATCAAGTGGTAGAGCACTTGCCTAGCAACCGCCAGGGCCTGAGTTCAATCTTAGCACCGCAAAACAAAATACAACCCTTCAGGTCCTCCCTTCGAGTGCGCAACGGCCCCATTTAGCTGGTGGCTACCCTACTGGGCCGCGCGGAGATTATAGAACGTTGTCACGGAACACTGCTCTCTAGAAGGGGCTTGGCTACCCCTCCCACCCCACTCCGGGGTCCGTATCCTTCTTGAGGCTGGGTACAACAATAACCCCCCTTCTCTCCCTCATCTGCCGCTTCTGTCACCTCCTCCTCCCGCCCTCCCGCGAGGTGGTGGAAGCGCAGCTCCTCTGGCTCACCCGCGCCCAGGCGCGCGGGCCAGAGCTGCACCTGTGGCGAGCGCGGCCACGTGGACGACTGCCTGGGGCGCCGCGGGCACGCACAGCGCGCGCACTCGATCCAGCGCCTCAGCTTTCCCGCGCCCCAGCGACCCCGCGCCGCTCCTGCCGCCCGAGCGCTCAGCTCGCTCCCGTCCAGCAGCCGCGGAGCTGGCAGCAGGTGCACTTCTGGCACTGGGCTCCTTGCCAGGCATCAGGGACATCAACTTACCCCACCTTCCTGATGGGGAAGGCTGCCTTTCTTCACTTGCAGATCTGGCAATGACCGGCCTCCTCTGGGCTTTAGTTTCCCTACTGTGACCACTGGCAAGTGTCACGTTCCCCACTTCTATGTCTAGCAAACTCTAGGCCTCAGTTTCCCCGTGTGGCCACTATAATTATTACATCATCCCACCTGTATTTTTGGCAACGCCTTGTCTTCTCGGGCCTCGGTTTCCCCATATGTTCAGTGGGAAGCACACACCTTCCTCACCTCTATAACTGGCATTTTTGGGAGAGGGGGGATTCGATTTCCCCATTTGCAGGACGAAAGACTCATGGCTTTGGGACATCAGAGCAAATGGCTGGCTCCGAACCTCGGCCTCCCCATTTGCTCAACCAACAGAAGGCTCCCTTGTCTTGCCCTCTGGCTTGTTGAATGTCTTTGCCAGAACAGATGGGGATGGTTCGATGGAAAGAGGACAAACTGGATACCCCAATTCCTCACGGGACATCGTGAGACTTCACCTCGCCTAGCCTCAGTTCGTTGGCCCGGTGTCGGTCAACGCGACGGAACTGCTCCTTTTGAGGAGGTGGGACCGAATTCAGGGACCCGTTCTTTTGCAGGTCTCGCGCCCTAGTCACCCACCCCTCCCTTTGGCGCGCTCCCGCGGGAGAGGCAGGCTCCGGTGGCGGAACCTTCGTACCGGGCGCGTGCGTTTCCGGCCGGCGTCCTTTCCCAGGGACGCCGCCGCCCTCGCGTCCCCGGTCCCGCGTCCCCGGCGCCGCCGGCCCGGAGCTGCCCGGAAGCTTGGTCCCGCCGCGGCGCTCGCCAGGGCAAGCCCGGGGCCGCCCGGGACCTCTGTCCGTTCCCCCGGACCCGAGAGGCTGCTGCACCGGGTACGGGGGCCGGGATGGAGGGAGGAGCCTTGCTCCGGGACGGTGCGAGGCCGGCAGAGCTGGGGTGTGGGCTGGGGCCATGGGATGGGGCGGTGTTGCTGCAAAGGCGATACTGAGAGCTGGTGGAGTGGCGGGAGGAGTGGAGGGGCAGGGATACCAGGGCTTCTTATGGAAGCCAGGGGAGCAGGAAGGCCCTGGAGGCTGTAGCGGGAGATGGGGCGGAGGGCGCTGGGAACTGGGAATGGGAAGCCCGAGGTCCCGCGAGCATGCTGGGGAGCGGGAGGAGGCTCCGAGGATGGCGAAACAAAGATGTCAGTATCATTTGTAGGGCTGGGGCGGGGGGAGGGTGTGGACGGGATCCTGGGGCAATGAAGCGGGTAGCAAGATGGGAGGAGTCAGGGGAGATAGGGGAGGACAGTTGAGGCATCCTAGGAATGATTGAGTAGAGACGATGGGGTCCCTGGAAGAGAGAGGATGGCAAGACCTTGGAAGTGTGAAGCGTGGGAACAGCCCGGAGGAGCCCTGAGTGAAAAGTGGGGAATCGGGTTAGTGGGACTCTGGGGAAGTATCTAGGGAGGAAACGAGAGGCCCTGGGGACATCTGTTGGGATGGAGACCTAGGGCGCCTGGGGCTGTTGCAGGACCTGGTGGAGCGGGTGCAGTCACACCTGGAATTCAGCGGTGGGGAAAAGGAAAGGACAAATGGGAGAAATCCCAGAGGCCATTAGGGCCCGGGTGTAAAGAGGGAAACGGATTTGGAGATTGATTGCCGGGTGGGCAGTGGGCGGAGGAAAGCGTGACAAGTTGTCCGCAGATCTGGCCTGAGCACTAAGCGGGAAACCCAGGAGGAAGGGCAGGAGTGAGCTCTCAGAGCAGTAGCTGGTACGGGGGGGGGGACGGACGAGGGAAGGGAACGTGGTGGGGTGGGGGCTGGAGATAGGTGGGTCAGTGGCGCAGGAGAGGGTGACAGGCAGTGAGAACTGGGACACTTTCCCGTTTAGGAAGCTTTTCCTGAAAGGAAGGGGCGTTCTTAACTTCTCTCCCCTCCGCCGCCCCCAGCTGCTGCTCCAGATGCTGCTTCTGCCGCCACGGCCACCCCACCCTCGGTCCTCCTCTCCGGAGGTCATGGACCCACCGCCCCCCAAGACTCCCCCTTTCCCTAAGGCGGAAGGTCCTTCTTCCACTCCTTCCTCGGCGGCGGGGCCCCGGCCCCCGCGGCTGGGGCGCCACCTGCTCATCGACGCCAACGGGGTCCCCTACACGTACACGGTGCAGCTGGAGGAGGAGCCCCGGGGCCCGCCGCAGCGTGAGGCGCCCCCGGGAGAGCCCGGCCCTCGCAAGGGCTACAGCTGCCCGGAGTGCGCCCGTGTCTTTGCCAGCCCTCTGCGGCTGCAGAGCCACCGTGTGTCGCACTCGGACCTCAAGCCCTTTACGTGCGGCGCCTGCGGCAAGGCTTTCAAGCGCTCCAGCCACCTGTCGCGGCACCGCGCCACGCACCGTGCCCGCGCCGGCCCGCCGCACACCTGCCCGCTGTGCCCGCGCCGCTTCCAGGACGCCGCGGAGCTGGCGCAGCACGTGCGCCTGCACTAGCTGGGCTGGCGCTGCCCTGCCCTCTCTGGGCCACCACGTCTGACCCACACAGCGTCACTCCCACACATTCCCCGGTTCTGCCGAGGTTACTGCCTTACCTCGGGCCTCGGTTTCCCCATCTACCCAACGGGAGAAACATCATTCCTTCCTTCCCCTCCTGTCTAGCTGTGTGATGTAGACCAAAGTTGTTGCCCCTCCCTGGGCCTGGAAGCCAGTTGGAACTGGGCTGTGGTCCAGCTGTGCTACGTGAGCCTTTGCGAGTGACGCGACTTCTCTGAGCCTTGGTTTTCTGAAGCGGTGAACGGCTGTTCGCGTGGAAGGCATGGCAAAAGAGCACCGGCACGATCTGGTTCATTTCTGTACTTTCCTCTTCTGCCTACAACCCTCTCCCGATTTGTTGCTCAATAAACATTCCGCACTCCACTTTCAGGCTTCTACTTGCGTTTATGTTGGGTGTTGGGGAAAGAGGGAGGCCGAAACCGGACCGGGAATACCTGGGAACCTTTCTCTCGGAGAGTGTTTCCGGCCGGAGCAATTTTTCCCAAAGCCTCAGGCGCCCCGCCCCCACTGTCCTCTCTTGGACCCTCTTCTGTTTCCCTGGGACGTTGCTCCCCTTCTCAGGCGCCGCCAGCTCCTGGGGACACCTGGGGGTCCCCGCTTAGTTGCCGTCTGCAGCTGCGACGGTAGCCCGTGGGCGTCCGGAGTGGCACGGACCGAAGAGACTGCTGCACCGGGTACGGGGAGGGGGTGCTTAGCGGTGCTGGCCGCTGAGGGGGCGGGGTCGGGGCACCTGCGCGGGCGGCGTCAAGAGGGGGCGCTTGCGAGAACTTGCCCCGCAAGGCCCCGAGGCCGGGGAGAGGACCTAGAAAGAACAGGGGGGTCGGGCGTGGACTAGGGGCGAGCCTGGAGTTAGAGGGTGGACCTGCACCTAAACCCGGTCGGGGCCGCAGCGCGGTGGACAGACCTGGAAACCCGTGGAGTGTGGGGAGTAGATGGGCGCAGTGAGCTCCGGGCACACAGTGGAAAGAGATACTGCGAGTACAGGGGATGGTGGAGCCTCGGGGACAGGAGAGAGAACCTGGGGACATTACAGAGGGTCACAGGGTCCTGAAGCGGGTAGAGGACTGGAGAAGACACAAAAGCTGGGGGATGCCCTGGTTCCGTGCCTCCCTCTTCAGCGCAGTCTTCTCATCCTCTCTCCCATCCATCAGGCCTCAGCCACTTCTACGGATGCTGGTGCTGCCGTCTCCCTGCCCCAGCCCCTGGCGCCTCCCCCTATTGAGGCCATGGAGGCCCCTCTTCCCCAGACAGGTGGGTCCCCAGAACCTGGACCTTCCTCCACCGGATCTCCCCAGACTTCGTCCCTTCCGAGGCCCAACCACTACCTTCTCATTGACACCCAGGGTGTTCCCTACACAGTGCTGGTGGACGAGGAGTCGCAGAGGGAGCCCGGGGATGGTGGTGTTTCAGCCCAGAAAAAGTGCTATAGCTGCCCGGTGTGCTCGAGGGTCTTCGAGTACATGTCCTACCTTCAGCGACACAGCATCACCCACTCGGAGGTGAAGCCCTTTGAGTGCGACACCTGCGGGAAGGCATTCAAGCGGGCCAGCCACCTGGCGCGGCACCATTCCATTCACCGGGCCGGTGGTGGGCGGCCCCACGGCTGCCCGCTCTGTCCACGCCGCTTCCGGGATGCTGGGGAGCTGGCCCAGCACAGCCGGGTGCACTCAGGGGAACGCCCGTTCCAGTGCCCACATTGCCCACGCCGCTTTATGGATCAGAGCACGCTGCAGAAGCACACCCGGTGGAAGCATCCATGAGCTGCGACCGGCACCACAGGAACCATGGGACTTGGGACTCCTGAAGCCCTCACACACCCACATGAGCTACAGGCTTTCAGGGCCCTGGACACAAACACACACTGGTCTCTTTGGGTGAGCCCTGCCTGGAGGAGTCCTTTGTCCATGATGGCAATGAGCTAGTATTGCACGGTGGAACCAGGCCTTGAGGGGTGGAAGTGGGGGTGCTGTGCAGAAAACTCTCCTGCCTCAGAAAAGTGGCTGAGGGGGTCATCGGGAGTCCCCCTCCATGTTGACATTGAGGGCAGGGCCCAGATCTGCATGGGGCTGTCTCCCAATCTGGGCCCGAGAGTGGATACCCCATTCTCTGCACCTTCATTTTTGGGGACCGGATCTTGGGCGGTCTGGCCCACTTTGGGCCTTGACTGGCCTGGCTGGAGAACAGAAGGCTGGCCTGCTATGAGATTAGGCCTACCTAAGCTCCTGAAGACCTGTCATCCACTAAGAGTGTTTTGGGACTTTTTTTGTTTTTTAAACCACAATCCACTGTAACATTTTTATATGACAATCCAGTATTCAATGATACCAAATGTATGTGAAAGTTTCTTTAACAAGTTACCTTTAGTGCACGTAAGGGACCCTGACATTTTTCCCACTATTTTTTTTTAATATAGAGCCCATCCTACTATATTAAATTCTCTGCCCATGAGCAGAGTGGTTTTAAAAACACTGATCTAGGGCATGTGGTTCCCCTGGGCCGTCTGATCCAAGCTGCATTTTATTTGTAAAAGTGAAGAGGGAGGGAGAGCTGGTTTACACACTCACACTTTCCCTCCCAGAGCACCAGGATCCCAGGGTGTGGGTCCTGCTGGTGAGCCAGGAGGGGCAGGTGGAGAGGAGCCTAATAAACACCTGCTTTCTCAGTCATTTTCATTGCCTGTTTTGCACCAGGCACTGTGCTGGGCTTCTGTCCTACTTCTACCTCGTTTTTTGGAAGAAAGAATGTCTCTTCCTCCCCATAGTAGGAAAGTGTCCTAGACGATGTGTCCAAACCCCATGGCCTGCCCTCAGTTAACACCCGCAGCACTTGTATCTTGAGCTTTGAGTGTGGCCAGGCACTCGACTGTGTTCAAGGAATTTTCCCCACTTAACGGGTGAGTAAACTGAGGCAGGGGACTGGAGTTTAGCTGTGTTCCCATGAGTCAATATGGGAGTGGTGGCGACTGTTCCTGGCCCACATTTTGGGTAGGAGTAATTATCGTTCCCCATGGCCCTCACTCCCCATCTCTGGAAACCTTGGGACCTGGCTTAGGGAGGTGGGTACAGTGGTCCCTCAGTTCCTGAGGGATCATTAAAACGGGATACAACTTTCTTGACTGTCTCACACATTCCTGAACTTCTCCCGGTCCACTAGGCCCATCGCAACCCACCTGGGGAACCCCAAGAGCGGCGAAAGCTTCTACAGTATGGGAATTTCGTGACGTTCCCTGCCTAGGCTTCGGGGAGGGAGGGGGGAGTACTGCAAGGGGCCATCGCGCAAATGCGGCCTTGGCCTCAGCGGAAACGACTGGCCTCACCTGGACGCGGGGACTTCAGGAGGAGGTGCACCGGGCAGGCTGGACGAAGCAAATCCATGTGTTCCAGCCAGCTTCTCTACCCAATTCCGAGACTTGTGCCCCCTGCCGCCCCGCCCACTTGGGGGTGGGTGGGCACTTTTCTTCACTCCACTTTGACACTTTGCAGACGCTCCCCGGCGCCGGGCATGGGCGCCGCCGCCGCCGTCGGTCCCTGGGCTGGATTCCGCGCGCGGGTGGGTGAGCGCGGGGAGCCCCCAGCCCCTCGGACCCTGGGCACCCACGGGCGGGGGATGGTCGCCACGTTCGCATCCCTGGCCTGGTGAATGCCCCCGCTGGGATCCTTTTCCATGACCGCCCCCTCCCACTCGCGGGACAAAGGGCGGGGGCGGGCGCATCCCCATTCGTGACCTTCCCGCACTGCGCACGCGCCCAGCCCCCACCATGGGGGAGGTGGCCCTGCTCGCCCACGCGAGTACGGGAGAGGGTAGTGGGACGTCCAGGGTGGGGGAGGCTGCACGCGCGCACTGGACCCTCACTCTATGCTTGGAAATTGGGGCTGTTTCCCCTCTGCGTCTACAGCTTTTTTGGCCTGGAAATGGCCCTGATAAGGGCCCTCCCCATTCAGGCCAGAGTGTCCCTGCTGGGTCAACCCCATGAGAAACTAATTAAATTAGGGCCCCAGCCAACTTCTCCCCAGATCTTGTGTCTGCCCCCTGCCCCGTAAGGAGTCCAGAAATGTGTAACCTCAGTGTGTCTCCCTTCTGTCTTGGGAGTATGCGCCCTGTCCTTCCTCAGATCCTGGAGTCCAGTACTGAGTTCCCTCCTCTTACTCCCGAAGAAGAGTTGTGTGTGGGGGGTCACCGCCCATGGAATTGACCCCATTTGTGGCCCCTGTTTCTGTCCAGTGCCTCTGAGGCGCTCACCTGCTGGGCCTGGAGGAAGCCTCGTTATGAATGACCGAAGCAGCCGTAGGCGGACAAGTGAGGAGCTGGGTTCCCTTCCCCACTCTTTGACCCACCATCCCTGCCCCTTCCTCTCCTGGGTAGTTGTGGGTAGGGGTGGCCTGCCGTGGGGCGGGGAGGAGAGGGACGGGGGCTTGTGTCCAGGGCTGCCTCTGGGGTGACCCGCGCCGGCCTCTCCTCTCCAGTGAAGAAGGACGATGAGGCCTTCGAGATCTTCCCCTTCGACGAGGCGCCCCACCTAGACTCACAGATCTTTTACAGTCTGAGCCCCTCTCAGGGGAACTTCGAGGGTGAGCTGAGGGGAGTGTGTAGGGACTGGTATCCACCGGGTGCAGACCTATCCTGGGGTGTAACCGGAACTCCCACCCTTTCTTGCTGTCCTTAGAGCCTCCAGAGGCCGCATCCCCCACCTTGGCCCTGATGAACGGTGTGAAAGCCCAGCTGCACATGGCCCTAGAGAGGAATTCCTGGTTACAGAAGCGGATTGAGGACCTGGAGGAGGAGAGGGACTTCCTGCGGTGTCAGCTGGACAAATTCATTTCCTCTGCCCGGCTGGATGCAGGTGGGGGGCGCTGATAGTGCCTCTAGCCCCTGCAGATTCCAAGTCCTGGTGTTGGGTAACCTTGGTGGAGACTTGGCAGCTTGACCCTCTCCACTACCCATCCCCTTCTGTTTTGAGGACTTCAAGCCCAGTTTCTTTCCTGCTTAATGTCTAAGACCTCTCATCCCCTCCTACAAATCTTCTGGGACTCCTTCCTTCTAGTGGGCTGCCTCAATTCGATTAGCCTTGATTCCCAGGCCTTCTGTCTCAACAACCTCCTGTCCCAGGTTGCCTGGAACCCTAGTGTGGGCTCCTTGTTCCCATTCCTAGTTGGAACCTCTATTCATTTTGCCAGGAAGGCTCACTGTGCTCCTTTGAGTTCAAGAGGCCCCTGCTTCTGCACTGTTTTGCCTTTTCAAGGATGCAGACTGACTGGCCAAGCACCTGTCTTCCCATTGACTCCTTCCCATACATTGGCTAATTAGTGGCACCTTATTCTTGAAAGACATTAAACCCTTATGCCTTCTCTGGGAGGCCTCCTTGGATGAGGATCTGAACATCATTGTTCCCTAAATCTCACCTCAGGGTTCCAGGCAGCTCCTTCACACTCTTGCTTAATTCATGACTAGGAGCAGCCCATCCAGGCTGAGACCCTGCCCCAAGGCCACTTCTGATGGGCAGGGGGCAGGACCTAGTGCTCTGCGTGTTAATCTGTTTTGAAGCTACTCTTGCCTCCCCCTCCCCATCCCACAGGGTTTCTCTTTCCTAGATCTTTAGCTCATGTCTTCGAGAACCCAACGCCTAACCCACCCCATGTGCAGCTGGGCCCCTCACAAGCCCTCTGGCTTGTCACCCCCTCAAAAGGCCTGTGGTGCTTTGGGGCCTACATTACTGGGGACCCCTGCAGTTGAGGATCTGAACCTTGTCCCTTCTCCCCATGTAGAGGGTTCCATCCTGGTGACTCCACTCTTTCCCCTGGGAGGCTGGGCCCAAGAGATTTTGCACTGTCTGAGTGGAGACCCCACCTCTCCTTCTACCCTTTGAAGGATGCAGTATCTGGGCCTCAGGAGGCTACCTGTCTAGGTAAAGGTGGTTAGGATTCTAAGGGCCTGATAACTCACCCTCCTATCGATCCTAGCTAAGGCCTGTCTGATTCTTAAGTTTCAAGTCCACTCTCTGGAGGCCCCAAAAACCTCTCCTCCCCGCTGGAACCCTACAGGGGTCCCTGGTCTTGTCCAAGTCAAGTTTAAGAGCCTGGGAAAATGCTTCCACCCATGCCCACCTCCCTCTAATTTCCACTCAAGGTGGCCAGCATCTGTACTGCACTCCCTCCATCTGTCTCTTCAAGACCCAGTTTGTCCTCTTCCTAGGGATAAGGCCTTCAGGTACCCAGGCCCACTCTTCTCTAGGGACAGTGATATGCGCCACAGTTCATATGTGTCTCTCCTCAGAGGACCACTGCCGTGTGAAACCTGGGACCCGGCGGGTTGACGGGGACAGCCGCGCTGGGGATGGGGGAGAGGCCTCAGACCCTGAATCACCAGCCTCCTCGCTCAGCGGGATATCCGAAGAAGGCAGCGCCAATGAGAGGAAGAGGCAGAAGCAGAAGGGAAGTGCTGGTCGGAGGCGCTTTGGGAAGCCCAAGGCCCGGGAGAGGCAGCGGGGTGAGTGGGTGCATATGTTTGGAGTTGAGGGTTCTGGGTCCAGGACTTATGGTGTGACTTGTACAGAGGCTCCTTTGCCTCTGCTTCCCTGTCTGTAAGAAGACCAGACCTGCCTCCATCTCCAAACCCTGATGGTTGGTCCTGAGTTTACTTTAAATTTTGATCCACCTTCAGCAGGAGGCTCATCTTAGGCACCTCCTTACTTCCCGGATCTAGGGCCCACCTCGTAGGGTGGGTGCAGCCTACACAAGTGGCTTCACATAGAGCGGGAGGTGTAGGGTATTGCTCAGGGGACTTGCTGGCTTAACCAAGCCTTTCATTTTCTCTGGCACCGGGGAGCGGTTTTTTCAATTTACCACTGGTCCAGCTTAGGTCTCCATTTCTCCCTCTGCTCTTTCACCACCTTTTCCTCCTGTTTTTTTGTCTTATTCTCTCCTCACCTGTCTCTGCCTCGTCTTCTTTTGCTGGTGTTCCTCACCCCACTTCTCTCCCCTCCCCATCTCCCTGCCGCCTTGGGCCTGCAGTGAAGGACGCCGATGGGGTCCTCTGCCGCTACAAGAAGATCCTGGGCACCTTTCAGAAGCTGAAGAGCATGTCGCGGGCCTTCGAGCACCACCGTGTGGACCGCAACACGGTGGCGCTGACCACGCCCATCGCGGAGCTGCTCATCGTGGCCCCGGAGAAGCTGGCCGAGGTGGGAGAGTTCGACCCGTCCAAGGAGCGCCTGCTCGAGTACTCGCGCCGCTGCTTCCTGGCGCTGGACGACGAGACGCTCAAGAAGGTGCAGGCCCTCAAGAAGAGCAAGCTGCTGCTGCCCATCACCTACCGCTTCAAGCGGTGATGTTGCCGCCCCTCCCCCGCAGACCGCTAGCCGCCGGGGCTGGGCTCCAGGGGCTCGGCCGGGGCCGGACGCTGCCCTTTCCGAGTCCCGGGCTCTGCCCCTGACCGTCCGGTGCCCGCCGTCTTCACCCCCGTATTCCACGTGACACATAGAATTATTCAGAGAATTTAAATTAAAGAGACGTGAAAATTTGGAATAAACTGGGTCTCAGCTCTTCCTGAAGCGGGACACGCCTTGAGGAGGCAGCCGTCATCACGGAGTCCGGGATGGGGACAGTCAGGCGGGAGCAGCGAGGCTGAGGACTACAGGGTGTAATTAGCCCCGGGAAGCAGAGGTGGGAGGAGGAGCAACACTGTTCCGGACAGAGGTGGGGGAGGATCTGCAGAAATAAGGCGTGGGCACTACCCGGCCCGAATATCTGGACAGGAGGCAAGACTCAATGACCTCTAGCGGACGAGGCCTCCTGGGGGGAGCACGGTGCGTGCGTGCGTGCGTGCGTGCGTGCGTGTGTGTGTGTGTGTGCTGTGTGTGTTTTGCACGCTTTCGCCGGCCCTCCAGGGGGCGGTAACGTGACTCTCCTCCCGGAAGTGCTTCGGCCTGCGATTACGCAGAAGGAGGTTACCAGAGCATATACGCGGTTGCCAAGGCCACCAGGAGAGGGAAAGCTTGCTTAACTGTCGGAAATTCAGTACCCCCACCCCTCAACTCTGGGACAGGGGAAATCTCGCGCATGCGTACTGTAGGCCCTGGAACCCGTTCTTTCTCCCCCCCCCTTCGAGCTATGAGAAACTTCGCCTTAGACTAACCTCTACGCAGGCGCAGAAACCCATCTCGCCCCCTCCTTTACCATCGGACGCAAGCGCACAAAGCCGCGCTGGCAACCTCCGCAGTGGCCGCGAGCACCCTACACTCGTCTGGCTGCTTTTTTTCCCCGCGCACCTTTTCAGGCCCTCCGCGAGGTCGGCTCTTCTCTTCCGCTCTCAGCATCGATAGAGCCAGGTGTCGAGAGCCGGGACCCCGCCCCCCTTCCGGTATCTCTTCCCCTAACCCACTTCGCCTGTGTCCTCCCTCCCTTTCGGTTCTCGAAGCCGGAAGGAGCCGAAGCTGCGACGGAAAAAACCGAAGTTGTGCAGTGCGAGGCTTTCCCGAAGCCGTGGCGGAAGGAGCCGAAGTTGTCCGGAAGGGGAGGAGTGAGCGAGTGGAATCTCCGTAAAGAGCCGAAGCTTGGAATAGAGCTTAATCTGGAGGGGCTGGAGGGCAAGCGCTGGAAACCTTCGGAAAGGGCCGAAGGCTGGGACGGTTAGGGTTGTCGGAACTGGCCGACTGCTTGAACAAGGCCGGCGAGGAGAGAGGCGGATCTCTAAGTCAAAGACTGGGACGGTTTGAATTATCGGAAGAAGCCGAACCCTTACAGGGGGCTGGGCGCAGAGGAACGCGAGGACCCACGGAAATCTCCGAACGTTAAGGCGCTAATCTCTGAAAAGTTACCGAAACTTGGGAAACCGGCGAAACCCCTGCTTCGGGTATTTCCGGAGGCAGCTTCCGCCTGCCCACTACCATCCGCCTGCCGACTAGGTCTACCATCCGGGAATAGCCGACGGGCTTCGGAGCCAGGCTCGGGGGAGTAGGGCAGCTTGCGCGGGGGGCGGGCGGGTGGGGAGAGGGGGCGGAGCCGGGGCGGGGCGGGCCGCCGTGGGTTTGATTAGGTAGGCGACGGAGCTCCGGCGGCGGCCGGAAGTAGCCGAAGCCAGCGGCGGAAGTAGCCGAAGCGGCCGGAGCGGGCGGGCGGCAAGGCGAGGCAAGAGCTGCACAGGGCCCTACGCGGCCACCTCAGCATGTCGGACTTCGACGAGTTCGAGCGGCAGCTCAACGAGAATAAACAAGGTGAGGGCACCGGGGTCATTTGGAGGCGGCGGGGGTGGCTCCTCGCTTCGCTCCCTGTCTCCCCCGCCATTTTCTCCTCACGTCCCCCGCTTCAGGGCCGCGCCGTGTCCCACCTTCCCCCGGTTCGCGGCGCGCGCCTGGCTCACGTGATCGCCGCGTTCTGCCGCGCGCGGCGAGGGAAGGGGTGGCTGGTGTGTGTGGCGCATGCGCGCGGCTCGGGCCCGCGCCCACGTGGTCCTGATGGAGGCGGCGCCGTGGACCCGGCCCTCGCGCGCCAGGCCTCCACACGAAGTTTCTTCTTTTTCCTTTTCTTTGGAAAGGAGATGAAGTTATGTCCCGTAATTCCGTCTTTTTCTCCCGCTGCCTTGGCACTTCCGCTTCCGGTCGGGCGCCAGGCTTCGTCTCCACGCCCCCTTTGTTTCCAAAATGGCGGTGTTGAGTACAGTTTTTCTTTTCCTCCTTCACGTGGACGGGGCACAGCCGTCTGTCTCCCGGCTCCTGCAGGCCGCCGATCCCTTTCGTATTCCTTTTCCTATATCACTTGGGAGCTTCCCCCGCCGGGGCGCTGTGTCCCGGAGCCGGCGGTGCGGCGCATCAGATGAACGTGTGGGACACCTGTTTCCCCGCCAAAGGGGGCGGTCTGCACTCTTTGTGCCTCTCGCTCGCTTAGCCGCTAGTGCACTGGGCCTTTTGACGGGCCGGCAATCGCCAGGAGAGTCCCCAGCTACAGACAAGCCCCAAATCCCATCTCCTCCCTTCGCAGGGACCCTAGACTCGGCATCAGAAGTTTCAGCGTAAAGATCAGCGGGAAGAAGGAGGGGGCCCCAGTAGGGTGCAAGCAGGGAAGGCTCGACTCTAGGTGGGCTCCACGATCTTGGCGGGTCAGAACGAAGCTTGGGGCCATGAAGCTGATCGGCTTAGGGACTCCAAGAAAGCTACCAGAGTCATTAGACATTCATAAATCTCTTACGTATCTTGATTTGAAAGTGACGAAACTCAGGAGTAAGGATGGTTGGGGCCTTGAGTCTTGACACGTGGGGCTTATGCCTTCTCTGTTTTTAGCTTAAGTTTTGGAGGGCTGAATGAGGGACTCAAGCCCTTGGACGTGGACTAGACAGGGGCGTGGCTGAATTAGGAAATAGTGCCTGTGGAATAAACTTCACTGCTTGCCCATCTTTGTTTCTGATTCAGGTGTTGTACTGCTTAAGAGCACAGGTTTTTGGAGTTGAGTGTCCCCGGGTTCAAATACCTACAGTGTTGCTTAGTAGCTATGCTACTTTAATACCTTTTAAAAAAATTTCCATCTACTGATTGACCATCACTATTTTGTTACTGTGTTTCTGGGAAGATTAATAAGAATGGTAGTAATGATAGTTGTAGTTAAACTTTGAGAGCTTACGATGGTCAGGCAATTTGTCAGACTTTTTGCTAAGGAAATCATTGTAACAACCTTCTGAGGACCAAATAATTTCCTCTTTTACTGAGGAGAAAAGTGAGGCTCAACAAGTTTAAAAACTTTCCCAAGTCTCAACTGGTCAGAGATTGGAGCTGAAATGAAATGATAACGAGTAAAGTGTGGTATATTTCTTGGCGTCTGCTAAGGACTGAAGGAGTAATATTTGTTATTGTGGAATCTACTTAGGAAGTAGGATGGTCTTTGGTTAATAGAGATGGTGTCAGTATTGGGGAAGGGCAGAGAAAGGTGGTTTCCAAACATCATTCCTCCATATCCTAACACCCTGATTTAAAGAAGAGAAAACCAAATGTTGAAAGTTAAGTTTATGGTTTTAAGCAGAGCTCTCTCTGGCTGACTGCAAAGCAATGCTGGACTGCCAGGTGGACCTGCTTTAGCTGGTCCTTGAAGCTTGAATATGCTCTGCTCTTGGTTCTCCTGGGTATCCCTGTTGGTGCTGGAAGGCCAGGGCTTGAGACCTGGAACATGGTGTTGGTGGAACTGCTTCCGCAAGGTGACCACCAGCCTGCATTTTGAACAAATGAAAGTTCCTTTTCTTTGAGTTGAGCTCTGCCCACTTATCACTCTGCCTGTGGGCCTTTGTCTTTGGGCCAGCCTCCTACATACCTCTCGCCTCTAGCCCCTTCTCCAGCTATGTAGGTCCACAGGGAATTTCTTTGAGTTCTAGGCACCCAGCAGTGTCACTGCTTCCTCTCTGGTTTCCTCTGCTTGCTGGTTTGTTTTTGAACCCTAGAAGTAGGAAAGGCTCTTGGAACTCACTCACAGCCTGCCCATGTTGGAAGTGTGGAGCCAGAGTTGCTTCCTGGGCTTTGGGCTTTGCCTATTTGCTTACTTCAAGCACACTGCTTGCCTGTATGCAACTTTACCTTCCTGATTCCAGTCTTTGATTTTTTTTTTTCCCCTTATCTGTAAGGAGACTATTCTACTGTCATAAGTAGTTCTTGCCATACAGCCTGACCTTTGTTCAGCAATATGACCTGATTGCCAAAGTCACTGACATTTCTGATTCAAGTTCAGGCTCACCATTTTCTGGACAACTCATGATCTCCTTGTGCCTCATCTTCCTTATTTGTTACATGAGCCTTCGTCAGTGTTTTACCAAAGGACTAGTGAGAATTAAGTGCAGGTAAAACTATCTAGTGTAAATTCTGGTTATAGGAAGCACCACCTTATTTATTGCCAAGTTTTTCTTGGTGCTTTCCTGATTCCTAGTGGTTGTGGTTTCTGTGTCAGAAAGTTATGTTGTGAGGCTAATGTCTTTGTTGGCACTCTCTTCTCATTGCCTTTTGATCTTACTGTCTCCAGATATCATACCCTGAAAAGACACATGTTAAACTATTTGAGTGTGGTAATATATTCATCTTTTGTGTGTGTGTGTGTTCCTGATGGATAGTTAAGAAGTCAGTGGCACCCTGGAATTGAGGAAATAGATACAATGGAAGGGAGAGGAGAGGAGGTTTCTCTAGTTTTGCTAGCAAAGCTGTGCTCTGTTCCTTGCCATTGCCTCTGAGGCAGATGAGGATGAGGGAGCAGTGTGGACGCTGGTGAAGATGTGGTTCCTGCTCCAGCTCCTCCTGCATGGGGCTATGAGAAGTTAGGTAGGCAGGATCTGGTGGTTTGGAGTTCAGGTCTAGAGAGAGGCCTGCACAGTCGGAAAGACACCCCTTCCCTTGGGGAGGTGCTCCTGCATTATTCACTGGGCTGGGAAGGGATGGAATTGAGTTTCCCAGCTTCCTGGGGTTACCAGATCCTACCTGGCATCTGACCTTGGGCCTGAAGGGCTGTGGGTGCCAGTTGGTTGCAGAGTCTTTCCTGAGGGGTCACTGAGTTCCTTTTGGAAAACATCATTGGGTCTCTTGATTCCCCATCCTCTAGCTCTGCCCCTCTCAGGGACGACCCTGGGGTCAGGCCCCTCAGCCCTCGAGGGGGACCAGGAGCCAGCCTCCTCTGTCTTCTCTGGCTCCTCAGCTCCTCTTGAGCATCCTCAGGTATCTTATACCCCTGGGGCATTGCCAGGCCCTACCCCTTTGATTCCCTTAGAGTCCTTGTGGACTCCGGTGTGAACCCAGGAGGCCTGTTATCTCCCTTTCTCCTTGCATCCCTTCCCTTGGGGGTGGCCTCCCGGGCACTTGGGGCATAGCCAGCAGCACGTAGGGTGGGCTGGGCCTGCATCTTCCCTCCTCTCATCCTGCCTTTCATTTTTTCACCGTTGCCCAGAGCGGGACAAGGAGAACCGGCACCGGAAACGCAGTCATAGCCGCTCTAGAAGCCGGGACCGCAAACGCCGGAGTCGGAGCCGGGATCGGCGCAACCGAGACCAGCGCAGTGCCTCCCGGGACAGGCGGCGACGAAGGTACCAGGGCTCAGAGGCCCCTGGCTGGGCTAGCCTGGGAGTTAGGACCTGTTTGCCTGCTTGGGCTGTGCTGAGGGTGTGTTTGTCAGGGTCTGGACCCTGCATGACTCCTCTTTTTTGTATATGGGAGGGAAAACTCAGCTGCTTGGCCTGTCTTGCTGGGGCAGTTGTCTCTTATTTAGAGGTAGGGAATGAGTTCTGATTGTTGTCCTAAGGGGTCTCTGTCCCTGATCCTGAGGCCCTGGCTCTTCTTCCCTACTTTTTCTCTGGTTCTCTTTGGGACACTGTTTGAGAGGGCTAGTCTCTTTCTTCCCAACTCCCAGGAAAAAGGAGTTCTTAGTGTGGGGAAGTATCTATAGCCTGGGCTTAATTTTCAGCTCAGGGATGTCAGTTTTGTTATTCAGAGTCCTCTTCTGTCCCTAGGTCCCCTTCTTGTTCTCTTTGCCCCTCTTAGGTGAGAAAGGTCAGCGTATGTGGACCTGTCAAGTGTCTTTTTTTTCCTCTGTAGAGTGGGCTGTCCCCTTCCTTTCCTCTCTTCACTTCCTCTTTCCTGGGGGTGGGACTGTTTGGGGCAAATGGCAGGGCCGAGGGTGCCTGCTTGCTGCTTGTTTGCCTCGGCCCTGCCCCAGCCCTGGGGTTCAGTGCCCTGGGGAGTGTGGTGTGTGGGGAAGATGAGGGTCCCCAGTCACCCCTTCCCATACCTTTCCCTCCCACCCCTCAGCAAACCTTTGACCAGAGGCGCTAAAGAGGAGCACGGTGGATTGATGTGAGCTTCTCTTCCTGCCCCTTCTGCCCCGATGTCCACTCCTGCACCCTGCCTGGCCCTTGTCCATCCTGCCCTAGCACTGGGGAAGAGTCCATCTGTCTGGAAACCAGTATCCCTCTTCAGGCCTGGGCCTGGCTCTTGCCTGGATCCTCTCCCCTTTGGAGAGAGTGAAGCTTATGTAGTGGGGTGTGGGAGGAACTCCTGGGAGGCACACCAGGGAGGGACTCCTGGGAGGGGACTCACATGCCTGCTGTTGGTCAGACTGAGGTTGCCCTGCCCCACTCTCCCCTCCCCCCTCCCTCAGTCGTTCCCCCCGACATGAGAAGAAGAAGAAGGTTCGTAAATACTGGGACGTACCACCACCCGGCTTTGAGCACATCACCCCAATGCAGTACAAGGCCATGCAAGGTAGGCAAGCAGCTGGCTGCTCTAGAGGATAAAGTGCAGGGTGTGGGGGCGATTCCCTACATTCCCCGTTAGCCGTTTTTCTGGTGTGTGCTTGGGTGGGTTGAGGAAGCAGATTAAGGGTCTGGCCTTCATTCTTTTGAAGCCCTGCTGGAGGCAGAGGTGAGCTGAGGGAGGGTAAGGCTTCCACCTTCCACTCCTTTAGGAAGCAACGCCTCTTGGGAGTAGCGGTTCCTGGGTATAGACCATGGTGCTGGTCGGTGAGCTGATAGAGGATCTATCAGTGGAGGTTGGGAGTCTCTGTGCCGGGTGGTCCCAAAGCTTGGCTTGAGGGTTACCTAATAATGGCTCTCCCCTCCCCCAAGCTGCGGGTCAGATTCCAGCTACTGCCCTTCTCCCCACCATGACCCCTGATGGTCTGGCTGTGACCCCAACGCCGGTGCCCGTGGTTGGGAGCCAGATGACCAGACAAGCCCGGCGCCTCTACGTGGGCAACATCCCTTTTGGCATCACTGAGGTACTGCCCTCCCCCTGCCCTCCCCTCTCCCCCGTTCCCCTGTCCTGCTCCTCCCTTCCCCTCCATTCCCTTCCCCCAACCTGCACGGGTCAGACTCTGCTCCTGCAAGACCCCCCGGCCCCCTCCCAGACGGACCGATGGAGTTGAGCCAGCCAGGGGCCGGGCTGGGGGTGGCCCCTCCCTCCCTCCTCTTCCCCTTTCCCGTCTCCCCTCCCCAAACCTCCTCCAGCAACCCAGGGATCAAACACACAACGTACCTACATGTCATACCTACGTGTTGGAGAGAGACAGAGAGGGAGACTCGGACACAGACACGCACACGCACACGCACACGCACACGCTCACGCTCACGCACACACAGACGCACACCCCCTGCAGTTTTTCTGACATGCTCTCCTTTTCTGCCGTCTGTCCCCATCCTTTTCCCCACATCCCTCCCATGGTTGCTGTTCTTTTGTTTTTGATCGCCCCTGACCTCCCCCTACCTTCCCCACCGCTCCTCTCCCCCATCCCTCCCCCCACCCCTTCCCGTGGCACCCCCTGAGAATCCCGAGATCAAAGAGTTGTTTCCATTTCTCTTTAAAGTGAAATATTGTGGGGCTGAGATCCCTCGTAGCAACAAAAAGTTTGCTACCATCGTCGAAGGCAAGTAAGGTCCATTCTGACTTTCTCAACCTGCACTTTGCTACATTTGATAAACCAGCCCCCGGACTCCAGGGCCAGATCCCTCCACATCACTCTTTTCTCCCCCCTCCCACCCTGCCCCTTTCTTCCCCCACTCCTTCCTCCCCTTTGCCCCTGCACTCAACCTCCTCTTTGCTCCCATCTCTGTCTCTGTCTCTGTCTCTGTCCTGGTTTCCCTTTCTGTCCCTTTTTTTCCTCTTCTGTTCTGGCTTGCTGCTTTTTTTCCATCTTCCTGTCTTCTTGTCTGCACTGGGTGTTCCTTTGTCATCTCCTTGCCTTCCCTATTGTGTATCTCTCCCTTTCCCTGTTGTTTTCTTCCATTTTTTGTTGAATAACGTTTGTCCTTTTTCCTGATTGTTTGGGGCCCCTGTGGCTCTCTCCTTGCACCTGTGTTGTCTGCCCTATTTGTTCCCATATTCTGTCTTTTGCTATCACTTCTTCCTTGTTTTCTGATTTTCTTTCTGCTTTTCTTACTATTGACCTCTACACCCCTGACCCATATTCCACTGTCCCCTCCCCTCGCCCCTCACCCCTTACCCCCAAACCCCTCTGTGTCTCCCTCTCTCACCCTTCCCCTCCTCTCTCCACCTCCCTCCCCGCCCCCCCTGTCTCCTATTCCCTCTGCAGGAGGCCATGATGGATTTCTTCAATGCCCAGATGCGCCTGGGGGGACTGACCCAGGCCCCTGGCAATCCGGTCTTGGCTGTGCAGATTAACCAAGACAAGAATTTTGCCTTTTTGGAGGTGAGCTGGAGAGCTGGAGAGTAATGGGATCAGGGGAGTGAGTGAGTGAGTGTGTGTGTGTGTGTGTGTGTGTGTGTCCATCCTTCATTGTGTTGCACTTTCCTGTTCTGCCTGTTCCCACTGGTCCCTCTGTAGTCTGTTCTCCACCTGGTTGCCAGAGTGAGCTTAGCTTGTAAGATGTCTGCAAGTCTGGTGCTGTTTCTGTTTGGAGGCCTTTTGGGCCTCTGCAGACCTCGATTTTTCTAGACCATTCTGGGCCAGTCTGTTCTGCTTTGGCCACACTGGCCTTCCCGGGACACAGTGTACCCCTGCCTGTTTGGGGCTTGGGCCGAGGTAGCTCGCTGTGGCTAATGTTTTTAAGTCACGTTTTCTGTCAGTTGTGAAACTGTAAAGGATGTTGGCTTTGAGTTTGCAACTCTGGGTGGGCTGATATCCTCATAAAAGACAGTAGGCATTGCAAAGGGTGCTAGGTGCTGAAAAGATTTTTGAGCACACTCTTTCACTCCAAGTTTGATGTGCACTGTTCCAAATTTCAGCTTAAATGTCACCTGATTGAAAAGTCTGTCGTTGTTGTCCTTTTGATTGACAACTTCTCTGTGTTATCATGTCTCAGCACTTTATCCTGCTTCAGCATTGTAGCTTGTGGTTGTGTGCTGGGTTGAGTCTCTGTTGGGTGCTGATGTCTTCATTTGCTAGAGTGTGAAACCTTAGAAGCAGTGCTGTGTCTGTTTTTCCAGTGCCTAGCCTAGGGCCTGGCTCATGATATTTGTTCATACAAGTACAAAAAAGAGGAACTCTTTTTGTCACAAAACTCTGTGGGCTGGGGCCTGGTCTAGTCCCTGACCTGTACTTCTCACCACCACTTTCTCTTTTCTTTAGTTTCGCTCAGTGGATGAGACTACCCAGGCCATGGCTTTTGATGGCATCATCTTCCAGGGCCAGTCACTGAAGATTCGCCGGCCTCATGACTACCAGCCATTGCCTGGCATGTCGGAGAACCCCTCTGTCTATGTGCCTGGTGAGTGGGGACTCCCCCAACCCAGTTGCCGTTGTCCCAGTCAGAGTTATTTAGGAAGTGTTGTGTATGTTTAGAAATGGATGGGTGTTTTTTCAGCATGGCAGAATGGCCCTGGTGCTTTCCTAGTGTAAGCTGTGATTTGTTTGGGGATGCACAGCTTGTAAAGTGGCAGAGCCAGTACCAGAGCAGAAGTGGGAGGGTTTCCCTGCTGATTGTGCAGGTCTGTGCAAGTGCACATGAGCAGATCTCAGCCCAGCTTCTGGTGTGGGGGTTTGGCATCTTGGTGCTTACCTCCCTCTTGTCTCCCTGTGTATGTCTTAAATCCTGTCTGTTGTGGACCATTTCCTGAGCTGTGTTTATTATCACCTCTGATGGGTGGGTAATAGCAGACTAGGGGTGTAAACTTTGAATCTGTGAAAACAGCTGCAGTTAATACATCTGAATACCCAAGTGGGTGTGCCTGTGTTCCAATACACCTCAACATGGCTAGTAACTGAAATGTGGATTTTGTGTGATTTTCATGTCATGCAGTAATCTTTGAGAAAGCTTACACTCTGTGCAGACATAGGCTGTGGGTTGCTTTCATCATGTAGGTGTAGTTTGCTGACCCCTGTAGTTGACAAGGGGGGTGTGAGTGGGGATTTAGGCTTGTTTGAGGCTCGTTTGTGTATAGGAAGCACTCTGGTGTTGGAACTCTAGCTGAGTGAGTGACTCCAAGTCTCAGGCCGGTTGGGACTTGTAGAAAGTAGGGTTCTGCTCGCTGGTGCTCAGCACTGGAGGATACCTGTGGAAACAGCCAGTTCATTTCAAAGAGATGGGTACCTGGAGCGCAAAGGGAGGCACATCCATGTTGTTGCAGGACTCAGTACTGGTGCCTGACCATTTCCAGTGCTCTTTCACTGTAAGTTTTGGTAAATTCAGTGCATCTTTTTAGTTTTTAGAAATCTGAAGTGTAGTACATATTAACATGCTTTTAAGTATAGTGCTTGGTGATTGTATCCATGAGCATATCTTTTAGGTGAAGCTACAGAGTATCTTGTTTGTCATCTTCCCTGTGCTTGGGTATTGAACTCAGGGCTTTGCGCTTGCTAGACAGGTACTCTACTACCTGAGCCACACCCTTAACCCTTTTTGCTTTAGATATTTTTCCCAGTAGGGTCCTGCTTTTTGCTTAGGCCAGCCTGGACCACAATCCTTCTATTTATGCTTCCTGTGTATCTGGAATGGGAGGTATACGCCACTGTGCCCAGCTTCTGTTTGTTAAGATGGGGTCTCGTGAACTTTTTGCTCTTGCTGGTCTCAAACCATGATTCTCCCAATCTCTGTCTCCCAAGTTACTAGGGTGAATTTAGTTTTAATTACCCAAATAGCTCACTGCTGACTGGCACTTACCATGTACCGATTACTGTCCTACTGCACTATGTAGATTTTCTTTTAATATTCACCACAGCAGTCAGCAAGTTATACTTGGAGGTCAAATCTGGCCTGGAGTCCCTCCTTTTCCCCCTTTTTTTTTTTTGGCAATACTGAGATTTTTAACTTGGGGCTTCATGTTTGCTAGGCAGGCAAGTGCTGTATCATTTGAGCTTCTCTTGCCAGCCCTTTTTTGTGCTGGATAGTTTCAAGATAAGGTCTTAGGAACTATTTGCCCAGGCTGGCTTTCAACTATAATCCTCCTGATGCCAGTCTCCCAAGAAGCTAGGCTTATAGGAGTTGAATCACTGACACCTGGCTAGTGCCTATTTTTAAAAATACTATTGGTACATAGTCATGCCTATTATGTGTTAATCTCTTCTGTTTCGTTTTTATTTTTTATTTCACTTTATTTATTTATTTTTGAGACAGCGTCTTGCTATGTATTTCAGGCTGGCCTCAAACTGGAGATCCTCCTGCCTCAGTCTGCTAAGTGAGTGCTGGGATTACAGGTGTGTGCCACCATGCCTGGCTCTGTTATCTGTTATGTAGACTTCTTTTGTAATGTGGTAGCCAAAGTGAATGGTTGAAACAGGCTGAATGGCCCACAGTCAAACATTTTTATTATCTGTCATTTACTTAGAAGATTTTTCCACTCCTGCTCTAGTAGATTCAGGTGTCTCATTTCAGAGGAGGAAAGCAGGCGTGGGGTATCAGTACCTTGCTCAGTCATAAAGTCAGTCTTTTCCTTGCACTTCTTCCTGTGTATTACTGTTCTGCTGAAAACAGACATGTAGATATAGAGACAGTTGCTTTTGATTATTCTTTTTTTTGGTGGTGGGGGGTGGTTATTGGAGTTTGAACTCAGACTTCATGTTTGCTAGGTAGGCCCTCTGTTGCTTGAGCCACGCCTCCAGCCCTTTTTACTTTGGTTATTTTGGAGATGGGGTCTAGCTTTTTGCCCAGGCTGGCCTGGACCTCAGTCCTCTTTTGTGCTTCCCGCTAGGCATATAACACTGCACCCAGCTATTGACTGAAATGGTATCTTGCAAACTTTTTGCCCTGGCTGACTTGGAACCATGATCCTTTGGATCTCAGCCTCTCAAGTAGCTAGGAAGATGGGCATGAGCTACTGGCTCCCAACTTTTTGATTTTTGAGAAGGGGTCTATGTATGTAGCCCAGGTTGGACTTGCACTTTCTCGTAATTCTCTTAGCTGTGCCTCCCTGGTACTGGGATTGCAGGCTGGTGCCATCATGCCTGACTTGATCATGCTTTCTTAGTGGCAGACCTTTCCGCAGGTAATTATTTACCAAGCAGTGGGAAGCTTGGTAATCTGCTATGGGATGTGTTCACCTGGAGAGGCCTGGTTGACAGTGCTCCTTGTGACTGACTAGTTGCATGCCACACTGGAGGAGGCAGTGGGCAGGGTCATTCTGCCTGTAAGCTAAGTGCCCTTCAGTGCAGCTTTCCCTATGACACAGCTGTTAGGTATTTTGATCTTTCTTTCCTCCTCCAAAGGAAAAGAATCAATTTTACTACAAGAGACTGAAGAGGAAAAAGGATTTGATAAAATTGAACGGACCTCTTGCCTGGGGGGAAATTCTGGAAACTGGAAGACAACTTCCTTACCTTGATAAAAGGATATCAGCTTGTGACTTTAGACATGATACACAGAGCTGGCTGGGTGATGCCTGCAGTTCTGGGACTGGAGAAGCTGGGCAGGAAGAGGGCACATGGGGCAGTTGAGAGCCTGGAGGTTAATACAGCACAGTGGCTCAGTTCTGGGGGCTTTTCCCCATCTCTGCTTACCCGATGCTCCCCAAGATCAGGAAGTGGAGTAGACCAATTGCTTTGGGGGTGGCTGTGGACAGGGAGGCCATGTGGCCAGGATTTGGACTGGAGAATCAGGCTGGATGGGTGCTGGGATCTTACAGCCTGTGACTGATAGATGACTCCCAGAACTAGTGATAAAATTTGTGAAGCCTGTGGGATGTCAGGTTGAATCATCTGGCAGGCACTTGTATGTAAGTATAAGAGTTCAGTGAGGAAGGCAGGATTGGGGGCTGTTGTACTCATTCAGCTTATGTGACCATGCTGTGACATCTGAGCTCTCTTGAACTCCAAATAGAGCGTCCTGGAGACAGCCAGCAATCACCACTGAGGGGTGTTCTGAAATGCCCTGTGCCTCTCAGCTCTTTGTCATGCTGTCTACCCCTGCAGTGTCACAGATGGTTTGAGGCCCAGGATATAAGTCCCTGAAGGGAAAGGACTACGTGAGCTAATGGGATATTTCTGGGCAGTTGTCAGTAAAGGATTCTCTGAGTTATGGTCTGATGAGTGGAAGGAGTTGAGTGTGCAGCATGTTTGAAGGCAAGGTGACCTGTCAGGGTCACACAGTAGTGGGTATTACATGTATAGTATGAATGTGGGTCTAGGTGTCCTCAGTGCATTGGACGTGGGGGGAGGGTACTGCTGGTCCTTGACTTCTCTGAGGCATTGCAGGACCTGGGAGATGAGTGTCTTCTCAGAGGGGAGCCATGGTGCTCCCTTATCTGTCTTTGACAGATTGGTGTGGTGTGTGGAGAGGGAGGAAAGCATGGTGTGGCCCCTCCAACCCTTATCAGGCAGGGTGTCCTGGTCAGGGCCAGTGAGGGGTTCTCCTGGTAGATTTCCCCGAGGTTTTTGGGAGATGACCTTGTACTGAAATTGAAGTCCTCCTTCCTTCTCCCCTTAGGAGTTGTGTCCACAGTGGTCCCTGATTCTGCCCACAAACTGTTCATTGGAGGCTTACCCAACTACCTGAATGATGACCAGGTAACATCCTTCCCCTCCCCCCATTTCCTTCCTGACCCTTCCCAGCTGAGCCCTGATGGATTGATTCTTGGCCTGCTGCAGGTAAAAGAACTGCTGACATCGTTTGGGCCTCTCAAGGCCTTCAACCTGGTCAAGGACAGTGCCACAGGGCTCTCCAAGGGCTATGCCTTCTGTGAGTACGTGGACATCAACGTCACAGATCAGGTAAGCCCTGGGGCCTAGCTGTTTGCTGCGTCTGCCCTTCACCTGCTCTCTTTCCAAGCAAGGTCTTCCTTCCTCAGGGACTTTGGCAGGGGGAGGCGGCAGTCTGAATCCAGGCCTTGTGGGGGCTAGAGTTTCATCCCCTTCTCCTTGGTGGTTTTTTCCTTCAACCCGCTTTGGCTTCTTCTCTTCCAGTATCCCGGTTTGGGGGGAAATGCCAGGCTCCTTGGCCCTGACCTACACCTTTCCCGAATCCCTTCCTTCCCTCATCCTTTAACTACAGGCTATTGCGGGGCTGAATGGGATGCAGCTGGGTGACAAGAAGCTGCTTGTCCAGAGGGCGAGTGTGGGCGCCAAGAATGCCACGCTGGTGAGCCCCCCGGCACGTCATCTTCCATTGGCTAGAGGGACCCTGGGGGTGGGAAGGGGCTGGTGGGAACAGGTTCTTTTAAGCTCCTCCCCAGCTTTCATGGGAGGGGGGTTGGGGGAGACTCAGGCAGTACTGGGGAGAAGGATAGGTGTTCCAGTGCAGGAATAGTCTTCCCTGGTGGGCATGAGGAGTATAGGCTTGAGAGGAGGGAGACTGATCTGAGCCACCCTGTGACGCCTGTCCACTCCCCTGGTCCCACAGAGCACCATCAATCAGACACCTGTGACCCTGCAAGTGCCAGGCCTGATGAGCTCTCAGGTGCAGATGGGTGGCCACCCAACTGAGGTCCTGTGCCTCATGAACATGGTGCTGCCTGAGGAGCTGCTGGATGATGAGGAGTATGAGGAGATTGTGGAGGACGTGCGAGATGAGTGCAGCAAGTACGGGCTGGTCAAGTCCATCGAGATTCCCCGGCCCGTGGATGGTGTTGAGGTGCCCGGCTGTGGAAAGGTTAGGGCACCCTGCTTGGCTTATCTCCTCCTCCCTCTCGCACCCCTACTGAGATGCAGGTGTTCCAGAGAGGATCCAGGTCCTCTGGAGGTCCAGGGCCCTCATGTAGGAATTTGGTCCCTATATTGAAGCAACTTTGTTTCCAGACCTGGCTCTGCCTTTCCCTGTGACCTTTTGAACAGGACTTTGCCATGTCTTTGAACTGGGGAGAGAATTACCAAATGTTACCACACCACCACTTGTGTTTGTCTCTCCTGTCATGCCCTCTACTTGAGTTCTTCCAGTCCTCCTGAGTCCCTTCATGGGAGGAGTCAGATAGAGGTGATGGGCCTCTTAGGACAAATAGGCTAAGGTGCCTGAAGTCTGATCTCAGAGCCTGCTAAGTCATATTACTTTGCACTGTGCCTCGTCTGAGCACTGCAGGGAGGTGGTGGTGTGAGCATGTGACTGGCATTCAGTCACCACTTAATCTGCATATTTATGGATTTTCTTTGTTTTTGGCAGTATAGAGTTTGAACTCAGGGCCTTATGTTTGCACAGGGCCAGGTGCTCTTCAATTTGAGCCATGTGTCCAGTCCCTTTTATTTATGGGACTGTTGTGGTCCCAAACTGTCATTTCAGCACTAAATAGTCAGCTGTGACCAGAGTCCTGCTCTTAACTAGCTAAAGTCCTTGGGACACTGTTGCTGTAGGACATGTGCTGTATTGGGCAGCAGGGAAGGGTGGGGGAGCACGGTGGCCAACAGGGTGATAGAGGTTGAAAGGTGGCGCTTCAGCAGGCAGTGAGGTAAGGTTATCTTGTAGGCAGGCTGTGTCTTGTACGGAGTGCACAGCAAGCATGGAACTCTAGCAGGCAGGACTGCCAGGTGTGTTTGAGAACAGGAAAGTGATCAGTGCAGATGAGAAGTGGGAGGTGAGCTTACAGGTGGGTGGCTGAGTGGGTCCCAGTGAGAACATTAGATGAGGTTCTGGGGCAGATGGGAAAGATACTGTTGGGAGGCTGGGCAGGTAGAGATTGCACCTTAAAAGGAAGTGGGTGAGCCAGGTGCTGGTGGCTCATGCCTGTAATCTTAGCTACTCAGGAGGCAGAGATCAGGAGGATTGTGGTTCAAAGCCAGCTTGGGTAAATAGTTCTTGAGACACTATCTGAAAAACCCATCACATAAAAGGGCTGGTGGAGTGGCTCAATGTGTAGGCCCTGAGTTTAACCTGTTTTAACCCCAGTATCACCAAAAAAAAAAAAAAAAAAAAAAAAAAAGAAAAGAAGGAAGTTAGTGGGATCCTGTAGTGCAGAACTGATCCTTGCAGGGGAGGAGTTTTTGAGGAGCAGAGAAGGGCAGCTACTCATCTGTAGACCTGGTAAGTTGGGTGTGACTGAAGTGAGCAAGAGCAAGATTTGTCAGAGAAGAGGCTGGTCCTGCAGTGCAGATTGGGGAGGGCCTTGTGAGCATGGGGAAGAAGCTTGGACTTTTCCTGGAGTGATGTGGTTCTAAGGAGAGAGAAGGGCTAATGGAATGTGGGTGATGGTTTGGAAAACAGGTTAGAAAGGGTCAAAGCAGGAGCTGTGATACATGAAGAGTCTCTTGTAGTAACCTGGGTGAAAAATGGTGACCTCTTTGAAGGTACAGTCACGTGTTGCACAGCAGTGCTTCCGTCAAGTTTAGCCTGCATACACTACCATGGTCCCTAAGATTATGTCATCTAGTGACATGGTAGCCATCTTAGCTTGCTTAAGTATAGAGTTTGCATAGTGGTGAAGTTGCCCAACAGTGCATTCAGAACATACCTGTGTTCTTAAGTTTAAAGTGCATGCCTATGGTAGCTAGGGATGGAGGGAAGTTAGTGGGTTTGAGAAAGACTTGAGCCGTTAAATGCCCAGACTTTGGTGATTGGTTTGGGTGTGCTGGGAGGGGAAGGGAGAAGAGCCAGGGGATGCTGAGTGGTAGGTAAGAAGCAAGGATGATAACAGGTAGAGTGGGAAGTTAAAGCCTACTGGCTTTGAGGTTCTTGTGACACCCAGAAGAAACTGCTAGGAAGCAGTGATCTGAAGAGATGGGTGGTATACAGTGTGAGGGCTGATGTGTGTGTGTGGGGAACTGGATAAGTTTGCCCAAGCATGGAGAGCAAGGGGGAAGGGAGGGTGCCATAAAAGTGGACAGTCTTTCACGGGAGAGCAGCAGGGGGGCAAGAGAGGGGTTAGGAGGGCCACAGCATTTCCTCTCTTCTCTTCTCTTGACTTAAGTAGGGACTGAGTAATTATTTGTGGAAAGAAGGAATGCAGAAAGCCTGGCCCTCACCTTTTTTTTTTTTTTTTAATTTATTGCATTCTGTTGCTGTTTTTTTATGTATTTTTTTCTTTTGGTGGTACTGAGTTTGAATTCAAGGCCTTATACTTTTTCTAGGCAAGCACTGTAACACTTGAGTTGCTCTGTCAGCCCATTTTTTTGTGTTGAGTGTTTTTGAGATAAGGTCACATGAACTAATTGCTCAGGTGGGCTTTGAACTTTGATCTTCCTGATCTGTCTCCTGAGTATCTAGGATTACGGGTTTGAGCCCTGGCACCCTCCCTTTGTCTTAAACTTTGTATTAGCGATCTTTCCAGACATACTGAAGAGTCTGATGATGAGACATTAATCGTAATCCCCATTACCTACCTTCAAGTTCTATTTTGTCATTTTCTGTATTCAACTTATATCCACCCCTCATTTTTGTTGGATTTTTTTTTTTTTTTTTTAAAACAAAAACCCCAGAGTCTTGTGATGTAGCCCAGGCTGGCCTCAAACTTCTGGTCCCCTGCCTCAGCTCCCCAGTGCTGAGATTAGAGTATTTGGAGCATATCTCAAATACATTTCCTTTGAGATACTTAGATATATTTCCTGACTACTTACATTTGGGCCAGATAACTCTGCTCTGGGGATTTGTGCTGTGCATCGTTGAATGTTAACCTGTATCCCCAGCTTCTGTTCAGTAGATGCCAGCAGTGCTAAATCCCTCCCCCCCACCCAAAGCACCTGCAGAGATTGCTCAATATCCCCTGGGGACATGTTTTGCCCGTAAATTGAGAACCACTGCTCTAACTAGATGGCCCTTAATTTTTTTGGGAGGTGTTCGGGGGTAGCAGGCAAGATGGTTTATGTCTGTAATTTTCCAGCTAGTTTTAAGGTGGAGGCAGGAGGATTCAGGGTTTGGGGATCACCTGGAGAAAGTTAGCCAGATACTGTATCTGAAAAACTGAAAGCAGTAAGACTGGGTGGTGTGGTTCATGTGGTAGAGATAAGCCATGAGTTAAATCCACAGTACTGAAAAAAACCCAAAAAACAATCATACCATTATTACAATAATAACAGTTTTTTTTTTTCTGGTGGTGATTTTTTTGTGTGTGTTTGAACTTAGGCCCTACACCTTAGCCACTTTACCAGCCCTGTTTTTGTGATGGGCTTTTTTGAGTTAGAGTCTTGTGAAGTATTTGCCTGGGCTGGCTTTGAACTGCAATCCTCCTGCTCTCTGCCTCCTGAGTAGTAGGATTACAGGTGTGAGCCATTGGTGCCTGACAACACTGATTTCTCGCATCTGCCTAATTCAAGCTCAAATATCTGTTGCTGTTTCAAAAATGAAGCAAACTCTAACAAACAAGATCCTAGATTCTCCCCCCTTGAAGTTTGGTTTCTTCTGTTAGGTTTTTTATTTTTAGTTTTTGCATTACTAGGGATTGAACCCATGGCCTGGCATGTTAGCCAACTGAGACAACCACTTGAGTTATGCTCCAGCCTCTTCTGTAAGCTGTCTTTTTTTTTTTTTTTTTTTGCAGTAGTCTCCATTTCCTCTAAACTAGGTTCATGCACTAGATCAAAGTTCAGGAATTTTTTTTTTTTTTTTTTTTGTGATCCTGGGGTTTGAACTCAGGGATTGGTGCTTGCTAGGCAAGTGCTCTACTGCTTGTACCATTGTCTTCAGTGAGGTTCAAGTTTTTTAATTCAGCTTGGGTTTGAGTCCTAAATTCTGAGCTTCCTTTGCTTCATCTATTGGAAGAGACCATAAGCCTTGGTGGTTCAGGAAGTGTCCTGCATGGTAGGGTCAGCTGGTACAAGTGATCCCTCTTCTCTGGGAGCTTGCCTCTGTCCTGCCATTTGCTCGGTTTGGCTCAGGTAACTCATATGAGGCATGCCTCCGTTCTTTCTCTCCATGCTTGTGAATCTCTGTTCTGTGCTCCTTTGTTATTTAATCCCGGAGGATCTTGGGTGAACACCCCCAAGGTGTACTGAGGGTCCCTTTCTGCAGCCTGTGGTGAGGCCTTCTTTCCCTCCCTCATTTCTTGTACTGATTCTGGGCTAGAATGGATGGATGTTGGCCGGCTGCTCAGAGCCAGCTTGTTCACATACCTGCCTCTTGTTCCCACAGATCTTTGTGGAGTTCACCTCTGTGTTTGACTGCCAGAAAGCCATGCAGGGCCTAACTGGCCGCAAGTTCGCCAACAGAGTGGTTGTCACGAAATACTGTGACCCCGACTCTTACCACCGCAGGGACTTCTGGTAGAGGCGGCTGGGGGAGGATGGGGGCAGGGCTGGCTGGGGGCTTCTCCCACCCCCCCACCCCCCCCTTTTCCCCCTCTGAAGATGATGGGCAGAGGAGTGACAGCCGAATGACAGCCGGCAGCAACTGGAATGGCAGCAATTAAGGGGGGGGGGTGGGTGGCGGGTGGGGGTTGGGGCAGGGAGGGGACTGGGGAAGTGCACACAGGCCCACACAGACACATGCACCCACACAGACACAGAGGGAAGGGGTTGGGATGGGGACCGGGTGCACAGCAGGGCGGGTAGGACCCCCATGGCCCCTCCCAAAACAGCCTCCTTCTCCCTTATGCCCCTTTTCTACCCCCCCCTTCCCTATGGTAGGAACATAGCGTGTTTATATTTTATGGCCAAACTATTTTGAATTTTGTTGTCTGGCCCTCAGTGCCCTGCCCTCTCCCTTTGCAGGACCACAGCTCCTGTCCTCTGGCTTCTGGTCCTCCCTGGTCTCTGCCTTGGTTTCTTAAGTAGTTGGTTCTCTCCTCTTTAGTCTTCCCTTATCTGCTCCCAGCCCTGTGGCCCCTGTCCCTCTCCTCCTCTCTGTGGCAGTTTCATATTTGCTAAGACGAATTTGCTCATTAAACATTTTGTTGTATTTTACTTTATGGAGCCGCTCTGTGTCCACTGTGTCCTGCCCGTCTCTTCGGTTCTGGGTGCGGGGAGGGTTTCAAACCCCGGTGGTGCGCAGAACTCTGGGCACCCGTCTGCCTAACCACCCTTAAGGGTTGGGTGGAGGGCGCGGCCCTGAAGAGAAAGGGTTCCGCGTTGGTTCCCTCCCTGCGCAAATGAATGAGGTTCATTATCCCTGGGAATGGGGCTGGCAGGCGCGGCGTGTGCTGGTCACAGCTCCCTGCTTCTGTGCTACCCAGTGAGCTGGTGCGGAAGTGACGAAAGGGCCTCTAGAGACGAGGTTCGGTGCGCCGGAAGTACTGGTGCCCAGGCGAGCTTCGCGGAAGTAGAGGCTGGGCGTGGTGCTTCAAGAGGAGCGCGCGTTCATTTCCGCTTCCGGTCCGTCTGCTTCGGTTGCTTCCCGTCCGCTTGGCGGCTCCCCTCCCCCGTCCGCTCTCCGCGCCCCTCCCGGGCGCCGGGGCGGCGGGGCCGTCAGCGTGCGGCCCTCTGTGCGTCCGCGCGTGCGCCGGTGCGCGCCTCCGCAGCCCGGCGTGAGCCCCGCGACATCGAGGCCGAGCGGGGGCAGGGGGCTGACCGTCATGAACCCCCGGAGCCCCGCGTGAGCGGGCCGAGGTAAGCTCGGGACAGGGACGCGGGGCGGAGCACTGGGCCTCGGCAAGACCAGACTCGGCCCGTCCGGTGCCAGGCGCTCGGACCTGGGCTACGGAGCGCGCGAACTCCAGCCGGGCCTCGACTCTGGGTCTCTCCCTTTTCAGCTTATGGTGGCCTTTGTGCCTTTGCGTCCAGGTCGGGCCGTCTGCCCCCGCGCGCGCGCGTGTCTTTTTTTCTGGGTCTGTCTCCATCTGTCAACGTCCTCATGCCCCGCGGGCTTGCGGGCGCCTGGTGTTGCTCTACCTCCGGGTCTGTTTCCGTGTTTTTACAAAGGGAATGTCCTGTGTTTGTGTCCTGGGTCTCTTTCTGGTCTGTCAGAATCTCATTCTTGTGTTTTCTAGATTTCTGTGTCTTTATTTCCCCAGATTCCTCTGCCTCCGGTGCATGTTTTTTTTCTGTCTCCATGTCTCATTTGTTCCCATACCTATCAACTCCAATTTCCCGTTTCTTTCCAGGAATGTCTTGGTTGGTCTAGGATCTGCCTCAGTCAGTCAGGTTTCCGATTCTCTGGTGTGGTGTTAAGAGATCTGGCTTTGGAATCAGAGCCTCTCTTCTTGCTGTGATATTTGGCAGGTGACTTCTGTCTCCAAACCTCAGTTTCGTAGTTTTTTAAATAGAAGTATTCCTAGTTTCTACATCATGTGAACTCTGCATATTAATTGACGTTGTGCTTGTAAAGTGCCTAACAGTGTCTGGCACTGGGAGCTCTGGTTTTATTATCACCTAGAGATTTGTGTTTCACTTAGTGGCGATATCTGTTGTTTGAGTTCCCCTTGGAGAATTTTGTCATATTATTTGCGTTCTGTTTAATAATTCTCTTTGAGTCAATTTAATTGCAAAAACAGTTTCAGTCTAAGGACTGTCTGAAATCTTAGCTTTGATGTGCTAGTTGTATATGTTTTGTAACAGTTGAAGTAACTACATGTATAATAAGATCTTCCAATGCCATCGTTTTGGAAATGTTCTGTTTTTCTCTGATAATAATAGCAGGTAGTGGTATTGAGTGCCTACTATCTGTGGGGCACAGAGCCAAGCACTTTATGTACCCATTTTATTTAATCAACAAGCCTGCCAGGTAGGAATTCTTTCCTTCATGTCATAGTTGAGCAAATTGAACCTCAAGAAGGTTTGCTTTGTTGGTTGCTGATGTGGCCAGGACTTGAATCTAAATTTTGTGTTCTTTTCCTGTATATGTTATTTTTCTTATCTCTTACTTCTCAGTCCTAAGCCTCTTTTTGTTTGTTTCTTTCCTTCTGCCTTGCTGTCTTCCCATGTGTCTCTATTAGTTTCTTGTTGTGTCTTTATCTCACTATGCCTCTGGGAATCTCCCTCTGCCCAATTTCTCTATACTTCTTTCCTTGTATCTTTCTGGATCCTTTTCTTGTCAGTTTCTTTCTCTGTATTTGTGGCTTTATCTTTTAGTCCTTGTGTGTCTGGCCAGGCTTGTCTTGGGTCATTTTTTCACCTAGTTATATCTGTCTTCAGGTGCCTGGTTTTCTGGACTGAGTTCAAGGCAGAGAGCAGCCTCTCTCACCCATGTCTCCACCAGGTTTAGATCATGGCAGGGCTCAGTAAATGGCCCTCCATGTCTTGTTGGAGAGGGAGAGACTTGTGAGATGTGTGTCCCTGTCTGTGTTTCTTTCTGTGTAAGGTGTCTGTGAATCATAGAGTTGTAAGGAGTAATTTATTTAATGTATGTAAAGCACTTAGAAGGTGCATTTACTTTATTCCCTCGTCTGTTTCTTTTTCATCAGATGGTCTCAGCACAGGTTATTGGGTTAATTTGAAAGTTTAAGTTTTATAGTTCAAGTGGGCTTCAGGTCGAAGGTTCAGCCTTGATATTCCTCTTGTGACCTTGGCTAAATTATTTAACGTCTGTGAGTCCAGTGTCTGATGCAGTGTTAAGTGAGATAATTAATGTGTCATGCTTAGTGAGAGACCCATCAGTAGGGCTGTTAGTTTTCCTTATCTCTCTTCCCTTAAGTCTTGGGCTTCCCTCCCAGCCCTTGGGACACTTAGTTCCTAGGCATCTTCCTCTCATCCACCCACCCCCCTGAGACGCTTCTACCATTTTCCTGTCCTCCTTGGGAATAGTGACCTTGATGTTTGGGTACAGCTCTGGGAAGTTTAAGTGGAGCCCTGGGGGTGAGTCCTTCCTGAGGAAGGAAGAAGAGCTTGGGAACAGGACAGAGGGTTTCATGACACAACTGGCTAGCCTTTACAGAGTGCCTTCTGTTTACCAGTTCCTCACAGTTCTCTGGATTACCACACAGAACCCCATTTTGAAGAGAAGAAAACTGAGGTGTAAAAGTTTGAGGCCGGCCCAGGTTGACCTTGCTCAGAAGTGGCAGAGTTGGGGTTTGGACCCAGGCGGTCTTACTCTTGCCTGTGCTCTGACACCGCATATTCTGCCTTGCTGAGTGGGGGCGCTTGAGCAGGAAGGAGCCAGGTATGTTTGAGGAACTGAAAGAGAAATGGGGTAACTTTCAGATGGAAGTTAAGAAGGGACAGAGCCTTGTGGGTCACAGTTAGGATCTTGTCTTTGTCCCCAAGGGTGGTTGGGAACCTCAGGAGGGGGTGAGACTCAGGCTCTGGTTAGCCCATGTCTGGTTTCTGTTTCCAAAGACCCTCTCTTCGCTCAGATGTGGTGATCTGCCAGTACGTGCTGTGGCTTCCCTCTGTGAGTTGCCCCATCCTCTGTGCCCCTCCACACCACCACTGGGCACCATGTCGACTTCATCGCTACGTCGTCAGATGAAGAATATCGTCCACAACTACTCAGAGGCAGAGATCAAGGTCCGAGAGGCCACAAGCAATGACCCCTGGGGCCCATCCAGCTCTCTCATGTCAGAGATTGCTGACCTTACCTACAATGTTGTGGCCTTCTCGGAGATCATGAGCATGATCTGGAAGCGGCTCAATGACCACGGCAAGAACTGGCGGCATGTCTACAAGGTCAGCCTGGGTGTGTGGTCCCCTGGGGTGGGAAAACTGGGGCAGAGCAGAGTATGCCTGCCTAGGGGAGCCTGCCACTTCCAAGAGGAGCGGAAGGACTGTGCTTTTACAGAAAATCTTTTTGTCGGTGGAGGCAACAAATGCAGTCATCCTTAGTCTCATGGGACATTGAATCCAGGTCTCCCCTTGCCCTCCCACATTTGCCTAAATCTGAGGATGCTCAAGCCCTTAGTCGAGTGGAGTAGTATTTACATAGGCCTTATATGTTTTCCCGTTTACTTTAAATCATTTCTAGATGACTTGCATCATCTAATAACAGTATGCATGAAGTATGTAAATTGTTGGTGTACTGTATTGTTTAGGGAGTAATAATAAGAAAGAACAGTCTGGGTATGTTCAGTATGGACACAGTTTTTTCCCCAAATATTTTTGATCCATAGTTGGTCAAATCTGTGAATGTGGAACTGTGGCTTAGGAGGTGCAGTTGTGTTACTTTGAGGAATTTTGTAAGCCTTCTAATACAAGTTTCCTTTTTTTGGGGGGGAATGGAACTGGGATTTGCACTCAGGGCTTAATGCTTGCAAAGCAGGTGCTCTACCACTTGAGCCACACCTCTAGCCTCACAAATTTACTTTTGAATGAGTGGTACATTGGTAAGATTCATTCACAGGCTCGGAGGCTTAAGGGGGTCCCTCGGGCCCTTCCGTCACTGCATCCAGATGCTCAGTTCCTTTTCTTGGAGCATCTGAGTCACAGCTTCTGTTCCTCCAAGCAGGTGTGTGCCCCCTTTACACAGATAGCCTCAGGCTGTGGCATGGGCATGTCATAACTGCACAAGTGACTCAGGCATCTTTGCCCTAGGTGTAAGAGGTCAGATGCAAGCTGGGCACAGTGGCTCATGCCTGTAATCCTAGCTACTTAGAAGGGGAAGATCAGGAGGATCAAGGTTCAAAGCCAGCGACCCTATCTCAAAAAAACTCACCACAAAAAAAGAGCTGGTGGAGTGGCTCAAGGTGTAGGCCCTGAGTTCAAATCTCAGTACCGCACCAAAAAAAAAAAAAAGGTCAGATGCAAGACTGAAGTGTGTTTGCTGCCGTTTATCTGATCCACTGGGAAAAGTAGAGCCCTAGAGACAGATGACAGGTTGGTTCTTGCCAGGAGTTGGGATGGGGAAGTGATAAAGAAAAGCACAGGGGAACCTTTGGTTGACAGGACTGTTGTGTATCATTTGTTTTTCTTTTTTGGCAGTACTGGGCCAAAAAATTCAGGGCCTTCTGCTTGCTAGGCAGGTGCTCTACCACTTTTGAACAACTCCCCCAGCCCTTTTTGTTTTTATTTTTAAAATAGTGTTTCACATTTATGCGGGCATGCTTTCCATGTAGCTGGGATGAGGGATGACAAGGTACATGCCACCATCCTCAGCTTTTATTGGTTGAAACTTTTTGCTCAGGATGGCCTTGAACCATGATCCACTTAATCTCAGCATCCATGAGTAGCTAGGATTGCAGGTGTGAGCCTCTGTGCCTGGGTTGTGTGTCTTGATTGTAGTAGTAGTTATGTAGAATGCCGTAGTACTGTGTCAGAATTCAGAATGGTGATTAAAAAGTGCAGATTTGACTGTATCTAAGTTAAGTCCTAATTTTAAAAAGTGAAACTTTACCTTAGAGAATGTTCCTTCTCAGGACATAAATAATTTGTCATGTCATTTTCCTTCTGTTACTGCAGAATATTCCACTGTATGGATTGGTTGTAATTTATTTAGCTAGTTCCCTGTTGATGTTCCAAAGTATTTTGCAGTGAATTTCTTTTTATACTTTTTAAAAAAATTATTATTTTTGCGATACTGGGTTTTGAATTTAGGGCTTTGTGCTTGCTAGGCAGGTGCTCTATTGCTCTATTGCTCACCGTGCCTCCAGCCCTGTGAGTTGCTTTTTAGCAAGACTGCTGTAATGTCCTTGTGTGCTTGCCACTCTCTGAAGCTGGAGTTCTTGGGTCAGAGAGCTTGAGTGTGTATGATTTTGGGAATTAGGTCTAGTGTGCTTGCCCTAATCCAGAAACATATAGATCTCATGCATTGGGCCAAAGGGAATGCATCTGTGGGCAGGACTCAGTGAGTAGGTTTCCAATTTGGCATTGCTCTGGGAGTCTGGGGGCCTGGTATTCCCTCTCTGGTCACTGTGTTCCTTGTGTTCTAGAAAAGTGGAAAGGGCATGGGCTGTGGGCAGATGGTTGAGTCACACTCCTGGCTGTAGGACCTCAGGCCCTTTGGACCCCAGGACTGCCCTGCACAGGAAGGTCTAAGTTGCTGTTACTCTGCCTGGCAAGCTTGGAGCACCCAGTGCTGCTACTTCTCTGCTATGGAGGGTCTGCTCTGTCTGGGCTTTCTGTCCTGGCTGATCTTGGAGACTTCTGCCAAGGTAGGGATGGTTTCCTCTGCTCCAAAAGGAGGAGACTGAGGCCCACAGAGGTGACACCACTTACAGATTGAAGCAGAGAACTGAGGTCCATTTCATGCCTGTTTCGACACACCAATATTGGGCTGAATCACAGATGGAATCAGTTACTCGTCACTTAGGATGAGATGGTGATGACATTTGTCCTGGGAACTGGGGGAAGGCCAGGGATGCAAGCAAACCCTGGGATGAGGAGGAGGGGTGGGTGTGGACAGGTGGGTACAGAGAGGGAGGCATGTCCTGAGGGGCCCTGGATTGCAGATACTTTCTGACTAGTGGCTGGAGTAGTGCTGTCAGGGGCAGAGAACAGTGGGGTGGCTTTGGGGCAGGGCCAGGGAATCCTGGAGCACACCGTGCTGGTGGCTGGGGTAGAGGAGTGGTAGGAAGGGAGATGGGCCTCTGATGCCAGATGGGGTTGGTGATGCCTGAGGGTGGTGAGAAGTTCGAAGAGGGCTGCATCTTGATTCCTGTGTTCATTCCACAGCCTCTGTTCCCAGGTTTCCTGTGGGTCTGCCCTGCTAGATGTTGCTGGGAACCTAGCTCTAATCAGGGCAGGCCCAGACTTTGCCCTAGTCCTCAAGCAGCTCTTAGGTAGGTGGGGTTAGCTTGGTATAGTTGGAGGAGCTCATGAGTCCCATGGAGGAGGGACCACTAGAGGACCCTGTGCCTTGGGCATTCAGGGAAGGCTTCCTAGGCTTTAAGGCTTTTTTCACCTGACTTTTGTAGCCTGGTTCATTTTAAGAATTGTTTGAAGATAAATTTGCTGAACTATAGCTTGTTGAACCCTTTCTACGTATAGTTCCGGATTCCAACAGATGCACATGTTTTGCAACTGTCATTGGAGTCAAGGCAGAGTGTTTTTGTTTAAAACCCTCAAGAAGTTTTCCCACAGTCCATTGTAATTCTTTCCTTTGCCATCCCCTGGCCTGGCTGTGTCTGTTCTGTTCTCTGTCCCTGCAGCCTCTCCTGATTTTGTGCTCCCTGGGGCAGAGCCCACTGGTCTGGTCTTGTCTTTGAGTGTGTGGGAGTCCCGTCCACATGGCTGTGGACATGAGGTTCCTCATGCTGAGGGGGAGTCACGTGTATATGCTGATCTGCACACTGCTGTGTGGGGTTACCATGTGTCACTGTCGTGTCCTGCCACATGTGGAGAGCTGAGCATGGGCACAAGTGGGGGTGCAAGAGGACCCATGTCCATATCTGGTACCTCCTTGGGCTTCATAGTCCCCTGCTGGAAGTATATGTGACAGGATAAGAATCCTGAGGCCCAGCATCCTGAGCTGTGTGAGCCTGAGTTACCATCTGGCCTTCCTGAGCCCCTGGTGCTAGCCTGTACTGGCATAACCCAGGTGGTGGGTCCAGTAGGAGGAGCTCTTGTTTCCCATTCCTCACCACACCACTGTGGCGGTGGGTCGAGTAGGAGCAACTTTTCCTCTGATGGCTAGGTGAAGTGAGGATGGATCTTGCCCACCTGTTGCGGGAGAGGTGGGGCTTGGTCAATCTGCAGTCCATGTGCTCCTGCCCTGTGGCCCTGCCTGGTGTCACTTTGTGGGTCTGATCACCTGTTCAGAGGAAGCATGTGTGCTTTGCAAGCCTGGCAGGCTTGGTTTCTGCATTTCCTCCCCTTGGTATAAGGGCCAGTGTCTATCTCACACCTTGTATTCATGGCACAGGTTCTTAAGTCCACAGCACTACCCAGTGAAGAAGGAAATTTTCATCCCTTTTCTTCATTTTCCCAGTGAGAAAACTTAAGACAGAAGTAGCTCAGACCCACTTAGCATGTGGTAGAGCTGAGAGTGAAAGGAGTCCTGGAGGCCCTCTTGACTTTGGACTGTCACCTAACTTGTCCAAGGAATGCAGGATCTCACTCCTTATTTTAAGTCAGAGGTTAGCAAAAGACAGGCCACCGGCCAGATCTTATGCATTGCCTGTTTTTGTAAAAAGTTTTATTGAATATAGCCAGGCCCGTTCATCTACAGCTACTTGTAGTTGGTACAGAGACTGTGTGGCCTTAAAAGCCAAAATAATTATCACTTGACCCTATACAGGAAGTGTGCTGACCTGCTTTGAATGTCCATGCAATGTAGTAGGACATTCTTGTCAAAGCTGTTCTAAAAACTGACAGTGATTGTTGGGCTATCTAGTGGACCACTTCCAAAATAAGGTTCCAAGTTTTTCATAGAGATGTAGCACACCACACAAGTCATGAGCGTACATCCTGGTTAGCTTTTGCAAACAGGTACACCTGTGTAGCCTTCACCCAAAGGGAGGTAGAGAGCATGTCAGGCTGTCCTGGGTGTTCTCTCATGACATGACATCCTTCCCCAAAAGCACTGTGGCTGCCTGCCTGCTGAGACTGTCCTGGGATCAGCTGTGGATGGTCTTTTGGGTCTGGCTTACTTGGCTTACCATCAGGTCTAGGGGTTGACCTCTCTGACTCTGTGTTGTTACATGTGGCATTTGTTGGTTAATGTATTTATTTTTATTGCTGCTTAGATGATAGCCCCACTTGTGAATTTGGTACAATTTATATATGCATATCACTGTGGATGGTTATTTGGGGTATTTCCAGGTTCACAGTCTTTAATTGCAAGTCCAAATTCTAGAGCTCTGAAAAGGAAAGTTTTTCATAATCCATTTGGCACAAAGTGTGATGCTGACTGAGGTGACTGTTGGCATGACTCCCCCTCTTGGAGTTCCCTTTCGTGTGCATGTGCAGTCTTCTTGGGTGGAGTCAGGAACATTCTAGATTCCAAAGTCAAGGGCCCCAGGAGTTCTGGACCTGGCCTGGCTCATTGCCTCTCAGCCTCTCTGCCTCTCTTCCTAGGTGTAATTGCATACAAATGTCTGTGCATTTTCCCTTTCTCTTCTGAGAGTAAACATCCTCAGGGCCAGTTAAAGGTTAATCTCTGATTTCAGACCTAAATACTCTTAACACACCTTCAGACAGCCTTGTAGGGGAGGGAGGTGGCAAGCAAGCTTGTAATTCTCAGGAGGCTGACAGAAGGATGGGGAGTTCGAGGCCAGCCTGGGCTACATAGGCAGTCCTGTCTCCAAAGCAAAACAAAACAAAAACCTTTTGGAATCTAGATTCAGCTACCACAACAGTGTTTCCTGACACATTTTACTTGGGCCTCCCTGCCCAAGCTGCATCCGGGATCCTGGATGGTTTCCATGAAGCCCGGGAAATCACCTGCAGAAACCTACAGGGTGCCTTTGTCTGAGGACAGTGGCCAGGGCCTCCTCAAAGCATTAAAGGGGCCATGGTCCCTTACCCTGCTCAGTAGCCTGTGGCCCCAGACCACAGCAGCAGCATGTGTGCACTCAGTGTTGGGTAGCCATACCTCCCTCTGGTGGATGGACTTTTTCATTGTACCCATTGAGTAGTTCTTTCCCACTTGCCCTCCCTGCAACCTCTTACAACCCATGGTGTCTTCCCTGTCTCTATGGATTTACCTTTTCTGGACATCTCATGTCTGTGGACCACACATGTGTGGCCTTTGGTGCCTGACTTCTCTCACTGAGCTCATTGCAACCTCTGTCAGTGCTTCTCCCCTTTCCCTGCCAAGCTGCGCTTTGCAGTGACTATGGGTGGGTTTCTACCCTCTGATGGTAATGAAAGTTGTGAGGCTTGAATCTGGCCTCTGCCCCAGGGTCCAAGCACTACCTCATGTTCTCCAGCCCTGCTTCTGTGGTACCCAGGATGAGTGACAGGTGTGTCCCCATCCCACAGGCCATGACGCTGATGGAGTACCTCATCAAGACTGGCTCAGAGCGAGTGTCCCAGCAGTGTAAGGAGAACATGTATGCTGTGCAGACACTGAAGGATTTCCAGTATGTGGACCGTGACGGCAAGGACCAGGGTGTGAATGTGCGGGAGAAGGCCAAGCAGCTTGTAGCCCTGCTTCGTGATGAGGACCGGTTGCGGGAGGAGCGAGCCCACGCGCTCAAGACCAAGGAGAAGCTGGCACAGACTGCCACTGGTGAGGTCCTGCTCCCTACCTGTGGGTCTGGGCCAGCTGCCTGGCCTTCTGTCAGGGCCTTCCTTTCCTCTTCTCAGGCAGCCCTGTGCAACAGGCCCCTGGCCCTCCCTGCCTCCCACCACTAGAGTCAAGAAATTTCATTGGGCTTGCCTTTGATACTTGCTGGAGGCTCCTTAGGACCAGGTGTGTCCAAACCCTAAGGGTGGCCAGTGGAGTATCTGACCTTGTAGAGCTGCAGCTTTGGCCCTGGAGTATCCACAAGGTGTACCCATGACCCTGTTAGAGAGGTTGGTGCTGGGGTTGGGGCTCCCCAGGTGTGGGTTAGGATGGCCCTCTGAGGGGGACATGAATGCTAATGCCTGAGGGAGCTGTTCTGTCCATTTATGCAAGCCTAGATGAGTTATGTCATTAGTAGGCAAAGGGTAGTGCAAAGGCCCTGAGGTGGCCTGAGTGAGGTGGAGAAGGAGAGCCAGTGCTGTGGGCAAGGCCATTAGCCAGTGTCAGGGACCAGGGCAGGGAAAGCAGGGAGAGTGATGGAGAGACTTTTGGCGGGGAGGGGGGGTGTGAGGTGTGGGTGGCAGTGCCTGAATGAGTGAGTGGCTGTTGGGGCGGGGAGATGGAGCAGAGTGTTGCCCTGTAGGTGAGTCGGCTGGACCTGCCAGGGCAGGAGGCACAGGAGAGAGAGCTGTGAGCTTGCTGTGATTGGAGGCCTTCTGTCTGGGTGCTTCATGTTTGGCACTCTTGGCCCCCACAGGTAGAGGTGGGGACAGTGGGGCATATGAAGACAGAGTTTAAACCATGGAGGGCAGTGGAGAGAAGGAAGTGGGGAGACCTCAGGGTGACTGGGGGCCAAGGGCACCTGAGAGAGCATGGGAGGTGGAAAGGGTGGTGGCCCTGGAGGGCTGTGGGCTGCAGCTAGGCTGGTGCCTGGTGGGCTTTAGGATGGAGGTCTTTTCTCTCTCTTTTTGGTGGCACTAGGGCTTGAACTCAGCCTCATGCTTGCTAGGCAAGTGCTCTAGCACTTGAGTCACTCTAGCAGCCCTCTCTTGTTTTTTTGATACAGGGTCTCAATATGTAGCCCAGGCTGGCCTCCTGAGTGTTGGTATTGTAGACATGCATCACCATGCCTAACAGAATTAAGTGGATATTTTTTTTTTTTGGTGCTGGGGATCAAGCCCAGGGCCTTGTGCATGCTAGGCAAGTGGTCTTCTTCTGAGCTAGACCACTTTTTAGCAGTTGGAGATGGTCAAACATCTGTGAAGGAGCTTCCCTTTGTTGACCCAGGATCCTGTGGCATGTATGTCACTTGGTCCACACCTGAACCTCATCTGCACTGCCTACCACCCACTCCTCTCTCTTTGTGCTCTCCTTTTCTTCCTGGTTCTTGCCTGGTCACATGCTTGAAAACTTGTCATGGAGTCAGAAATTTGAATTTGGTGTAGTTTTCATGTGGCTTGACAAATTCTTTCGTGTTTCCTCCAACCACTTAAAATGTAAAGAGGGGGGTAGAGAGGACAGGTGCAGTGGTTCATGCCTATAAACCCAGCTACTTGGGAGGATATCAGTCTGGCCCTGGGCAAAAAGTTAATGAGACCCTATGTCATCCAACAGGCTGGGTGTGGTGGGATATGCTGATGGTCCCAGTTACATGGGAGGCATAGGTAGGAGGCTGACCTGGGCAAAAAGTGGGAGCCCTATCTGAAAAATAACTAAAGCAAAAAAAAAAAAAGAAAAATGCTGAGGGTGTGGCTTAAGTGGTAGAGTGCCTGAGTTCAAACCCTAGTACCAACAAAAACAACAACAAAAAACCCAAAAAATAAAGCATGGGTTTTGGCCACAGACAATTGACTAGACTCTGTCTTGGAGTAAGGTGAGAGAGGAGGAGGGCAGCCATGAGAGTTTGTCCCTGAGACTTCCAGAGGAATAAGTGGGAAGGACTGTTGGCCACAGCAGGCTCCAATACCTGACCAGGTGGATGGCTTGATGTCTTTCTTTACCTCTGAAGGACAAGGTGGGGCCTTTAGATCTGTACAACCAACCTTGACTGAGGCCATAGGATGTTTGTCAGGCAGATGTTTCACAATGGGGTGGGTTCCCAGTATCCCCGTGCTTGGGGACCCCCACACTGAGTCTAGCCCAGGGCTGATTTAACTGTACAGCTGGGGCCTGGGGACAGATTCTAGGAAAAGCCAGATCTCTAACATTGGTGAGAGGCCTGGACCTCAGGTTGGTGGTTGGGAACAAGGAGCCTTGGATCCAGGGTCTGGTGTCTCTGTGCTAGAGCAGATGTGGTGGAGAGGATGGAGTGAGGGGCAGGGTGTGCTCTGGGTGGTGCTGAGGCTAGGACTGTGAGCAGAGCCTGCCTCTCACTTTGTGGGGAGAGGTATCTCAGTTCTGGAGAAGTCAGACTGGTGCTGGGTTGGAGGGGTGAGAAGATGCTGACTGCAGAGGCTGGGGTCTCAGCCCCTTCTGGGAAGCCCACCACGGCCCTCTCCTACCTTCTGCTAGCCCTGGAGACAGCCTGGCCTTCATGTGGCTCTCTCCTCCTTCTGGACAAGCACTGTTTGTCTACCCACGGTCTTCTGCTCATTGAACCTTGGATCCCATAGGAGCCCTGGAGACTATGGCCCGTGCCTCCCTCCTGGGCTGTGCTGGGAGCTTGCAGGGCTGGGAGACTAGGGAATGGACCTGGCATCCTGGCCCTGGGGTGGATCGGAGGCTCTTGCAGCAGCCCTGGCTCCTCCTTGTCCTTAGCACACAGGATGCGTGCTTCCTGTGCTTCCCTGGTGCTAACCCCTCCCGTGGGTGGGGCCACCCTTTGCCCTCCCTGCTACCTGGGCTTCCTGCCCTACCCTCCCTATGGTTGGCCTTCGGAGGCCTTAGGGGAGGGGCAGGGATGCTGGGGGTCTGGCAGCAGAAGCCCCTATCTGCTCCCCGGGGCCACCTGTTTCTCACATGCTTCCTGACAGCCTCCTCAGCAGCAGTGGGCTCAGGGCCCCCGCCTGAGGCAGAGCAGGCCTGGCCACAGAGCAGCGGGGAAGAGGAGCTGCAACTCCAGCTGGCCCTGGCCATGAGCAAGGAGGAAGCTGACCAGGTATAGGGTGACGCTGTGGGAGAGGGATTGACTTTTGTTCTGCCATCCTGTCTCCATGTCTCACTTGCTTCTCACTCCCACAGCCCTCCTCGTCTCTGTGGCCCTCACTCACTCTCTGTTCTTTCTGGCTCTTCCTGGTCTTCCGACCCTGTTCCCACCCTTTTTTCTGGAGGTGGCTCTGCTCTTGGCCATCTGGTGCTCTGTTTCTCTCTTTTCCAGTTCCTTACTGGGGAACCTGTACTGCTCTCTTTCTTAGCCTTGTCCAGCCCTGGCTCTTTGTGCACCTGTTCATCCACCTGCCCCATCCCTTTTTTGGCCTGCCTCTGCCTATGACTCTGGTTCTTGCTGCCCCTGCCCCATCCCTCACACTCTCTCTCTCTCAGCCCCCGTCCTGCGGCCCCGAGGATGACGTCCAGCTCCAGCTGGCCCTTAGTTTGAGCCGAGAGGAGCACGATAAGGTCAGAGCAGCCTCCCTGCCCCTCCCAGGGCTCCCCACACCCTCTGCTCAGGTCCTTGTCCCTGCTGTCCTTCCTAAAGTGCTTACTCTGCCACAGGCTTGTGTTCTTCCAGCCCTCAGCACCTTCAGTTGTAGGACCTCAGACAAACAAATGGGGTAGATGCCTGGGGTGTGAGACCTGGTAGGGCTCTCTGGGGGTACAGACCTCCAGTGCAGAGAGCACTACTGAGTCATGTGCCCCAACAAAAGGCCAGGATGAGGAGCTGCTTTACTTCCTGGGTCCCCCTCGTCCTCCCTTCCCCAGACCACACATGCTTCTCTGCCGCCCACCCTACCTTTGCCCCTGGTATCCCTTCCCCATTCCATACATCGTCTACATCCCATCTTAAGTTTTCAGTCACTGTTGTCAGAGTGGGAGAGGTGAGCAGGGCCTTCCAGGTTGGGGTGGCACCGTCTGCCTATGGCTTATGTCTGACCCTGACCCTGCTGGCTGCTTCTGCGTCCTGTAGGAAGAGCGGATCCGTCGAGGGGACGACCTGAGGCTGCAGATGGCGATAGAGGAGAGCAAGAGGGAGACTGGGGGCAAGGAGGAGGTGAGTGGCCAGGCTCCATTTGTTCACTGGCTCACCGTCTCCTGCCCTGCCACTTGTGGTAGGAGGTGATTGCTGTGCACAGTGAATGCTAGGCTGGAGTAGCACTGCTGCCCTCTGTTGATGGCGGCTGAAAGGAAAGGACCCAGATGGTTGCAAGAGCCTGACAGGCTGCAGGGGGACATGGAGCTCCTCCATCTGTCCGGTTTTCTCAGGTGCCTTCCAAGGGCCATGCCTACACTGGACACTGGCCTGTGGTACATGCTCTGGGCCTCCTCCCTGGCCGAGGAGGGGCATGCACAGTCTGTGCTCCATAGCTGTTATTGCAAACCTGGAACTTGAAGGTACAGGTTGGAATCACCAGAACCTCCTGGCTTCAGTTCATGCTGCTTTCCTTCTCATGGCTCTGTGGTGCATGGGTTTGACTGGACATTCCTTCTCTTCTTTGTGTCAGAGCTAAACTGGGCTGTAGGGCCACATTGGTCTCTTCCTTCATCTCCACCTATGGCCTCCCCAATCACTGCTCCTCTCCAAGTGTCTTCATGGCTCTGTAAACTTTGCTGTCAGGTTCTGAGGCCAGACTGCTTTGAGGTGTGGTGACACAGAGAGCAGACGGCTTGTGGCCATGAGTGATTGGCCAGGGAGGCTTTCTTGATGGACAGCAGTGCTTGCTCAAGATGGCCTTAGCCCAGAGGGTGTCTTGTCTGGACGCAGCCCACCCCACCTGTGCTGCTTCCACTGTTAGCATAGGGCCGGGGAGATGAGAGTGACTGCCTGGGGAAGACCTTGCTTTTCTCTCCCTGGGACTCTGCCTCATTGCGGGGAGGTGAATGTATGTAGGGCACTTCCGCTTTTAGAGATGAGAGTGTGTGCCCACTCTGAGAACACCAGAGCATTGTGCATGTGTTTGCGCAGCGCTGGGAAGCCTGCTATGTGACGAGCAGGAAAGGTATGGTCAAGATGACTTGGCAGGGGCTTCCCAGGGCAAGGCAGTGGGCAGGGGTGGGCAAAGTCAGCTGAAAAACCAGCTGGGTACTGTAGGTGAGAGGAAGCATTGAGGTGTTGATGCTCAAAGGAGGGCTTGGCCTCCGTCCTGCTCAGAGTCTAGTCTGAGGACCTGGGCCAGTTGGCTCTGAAGGGCTACCAGACTGCTGTACAGGGAATGGACTAGGGCTTGGGAGGGAGTGGGGCTGTGGTGGAGCCCTTTGGTGACCTGGGCCAGGGGTGGGGGAGGTGGGGATATCTGGGCTGAGGGAGAGGAGGTACAGGCGCCTGGTGGCTCTGCCTCTGTCTTCATCTCTTGTCCCATCCCTGTCTCCAGTTTTCTCTCTTCTCTCTCTCCCACAGTCATCCCTTATGGATCTTGCTGATGTCTTCACGGCCCCAGCCCCTCCACCAGCCTCCGACCCCTGGGGAGGGCCAGCATCCATGGCCACTGCTGTCACTGCTGCTGCCCCTGCCTCAGACCCCTGGGGGGGACCTTCTGTCCCTCCAGCTGCTGATCCCTGGGGTGGTCCAGCCCCCACTCCAGCCTCTGGGGACCCCTGGAGGCCTGCGGCCCCTGCGGGGTCCTCAGTTGACCCTTGGGGTGGGACCCCAGCCCCTGCGGCTGGAGAGGGGCCTACGTCTGACCCATGGGGAAGCTCTGATGGTGAGCGCCACCACCCACTCTGCTGCAGCCTTCTTGGCTCTGTGACTCTCCTTCAGCTGGCTGTGCCTCTAGAACTGGTGCCCCAGACACTGTGGGGCCAGATGAGCTGGCCAGGGCAGTCCAAGAGGGAGTCAGGCATCTGGGGAGGCTGCCTATGAGGAGATGGAATGGGGAAGAGTATGCTGGGGAGAGGGCTTGGAGCAGGGCCCCACCTGTTGTCTGGAGCTCAGCGTGTGGAGGTGGGGGCCTAGAAACAGGGCCAGCAGGTAGATGTGTGAACAACCACAGATTTAGAGGCAACACCCCCCAGCTGCCCCAGTGGGAGAGGCCACCAGCCCCTCACAGGCCTCCTTGCTCACCTAGGTGGGGCCCCAGTCAGTGGACCTCAAGCTTCTGATCCCTGGGCACCAGCACCAGCTTTCTCAGACCCCTGGGGGGGTTCACCTGCCAAGCCCAGCACCAATGGCACTGCAGGTACTGGGTATCTCTGGCAGATGGGAGCGGTGTCCTGGGTATATGAACGCTGAGTGTGAGCAGCTCATCTCCTGGGTCCTGGGGAGGAGGGAGAGCAGCAAGGCTTGGTGGCTGCTGAGCAAAACATCTGGCCCCCACAACAGTTGGCGGCTTTGATACGGAGCCTGATGAATTCTCAGACTTTGACCGACTCCGCATGGCCCTGCCAACCTCTGGCAGTAGTACAGGTGAGTTGCCCCCACTTGGCAGTCTGCTTGGTGCACCAGGACCCCCAGCCCATTCTCCATTATCTCTCTGTCACTCCAGGCAGGGCTAGCTATGCTTCATGGTGAGGGCAGTGGTACAGAATGAGCCAGATCCAGTCACCCCTCTTCCCAAAGGGATGTGTTAACTGTTGTAGACTAATTTCAGACTCAGAAAAATTGCCAAGATAGTACAAAGAATTTCCTGTGGAGATCCTCACCCATACGCCTACCTCCTACCCCTCTCTGCCTGTGGATCGTGTCCTGGGTGGGGATGGACATCAGGAATTGGGGGAACAGCATCAGCACGCTGCCCCTGAGCTTGCTCCTCGCTTCCATGTTTGGCTGCCCAACTCAGGTCAGCCTGGAGCCGGCCTACACCTGTCTCCTGACAGCAGAGGATCCAGGTCTGCTCTGCCTCTTTGCAGGGACACAACAGGGGGTGGGCCTGGGTCTCCTTATCAGTGTCTTAGCAGCCACATTTGCTCATAGGAACCAATGTCAACTTCGGTGACTTTTAAAAATTTTCTTCTTTCCTTCCCTTCCTTTTCCCTTCCTCTTCCTTTTTCCCTTCCCCTTCCCTTTCCTTTCACCAGGGTTGAACTCAGGGTGTCACGCTTGCTAGACAGGCGCGCTCCCACTTGAGCCACTCCACTGTCCTTATTTGTATTGGGTATTTTCGAGATAGGATCTCACGAACTAGTTGCCCGTGCTGGCTTCAAACCCTGATCCTCCTGATTTCTGCTTCCTGAATAGCTAGGATTACAGGTGTGAGCTACTGGCGCCAGGCAAACTTCATTTCTTGAGACGAAGTCTTACTAAGTTGCTTAGGTTGGCCTTGAACTTGTGATTTTCCTGCTTCAGCCCCCTGAGTAGCTAGGATTATAGGTGTGAACCCAGACATTTTCTTTTTTCTTTCTTTTTTTTTTTTTGGCGGTACTGGGGTTTGAACTCAGGGTCTACACCTTGAGCTATTCCACCAGCCCTTTTTTTGTGATGGTTTTTTTTGAGATAGGGTCTTGTGAACTATTTATCCAGGCTGACTTTGTGTCGTGATTCCCCTGATCTCTGCCTCCTGAGTAGTTAGTACTACATACGTGAGCCACCGGCACCTGGCTTGACTTTTTATTTTCTTGAGCCAGGCAAACTACTATTGAAGCACTAACTTGTTTCCATTGATATAGTTCTGGATGGAGAGAGTATTCCCATCATTTCCCTCTTTCCTCATGCTTGGGTTAGTTTAGATTGACTATTGGATTCTAATTTTCATTCTTCTTGGCTTTTTTCCTCCTCCATACAAACTTGAAAAGTTTTTCAACATTTTAGAATTCTTAGGTCTATTAGAAAAAGTTAGACTTCAAGTCAACAAATGTCAACTGTACCAGGATTGCTGGTGACTGCTGTGGTTTCTCATAAAATTCCTCCTGGGGATTGGTTCAAAGACAGCTTGAGCAAACAGTTTGTGAGACACTATCTCGAGAAAATCTATTAAAAAAAAAGGGGGGCTGGTGGAGTGGTTCAAGGTATAGGCCTTGAGTTCAAACCCCAGTACCACAAAAAAAAAAAAAAAAAAATTCTGGGAATGTGTAAATAGTGGATTTCTTCTGGGGAAGCTCCTTTAGACTGGAAGTATCCCATACACAGTCCTGTCCTGCTTTCAGCACCTGGTCCTTCTTTTGATGACTTCCCTGAAATTGTCACTGCCCTAGTTTTATGTCATTCCCTCTGGTTCATTCTGGTTCTGTCATTTGCTCTGTGCTTGTTCACTGAAATCAGACTCACATAGCTTTGAATCTGGGCTCTCTTTGAACTGTCAGCCTTTGGTGGGCAATGCCTGTCTATGTCCTGTTTCTTCCTGAGGACCTGGGCACCAGCCTCAGTCTGCTTGCCTCCCTTCAACCCCTGCTGCTTCTGGGTGCGCTCTCTAGTGGCCAAGCACTCTGAGCCCCATCCTGGCTCCTTCTAGGGGAGCTGGAGCTGCTTGCAGGAGAGGTGCCTGCCCGTAGCCCTGGTGCATTCGACATGAGTGGAGTTGGGGGGTCTCTGGCTGAGGCTGTGGGGAGCCCCCCACCTGCCACCACCCCTACCCCCACACCTCCCACACGGAAGACGCCAGAGTCATTCTTGGGGCCCAATGCAGCCCTTGTCGATCTGGACTCACTGGTGAGCCGGCCGGGCCCCACACCGCCAGGAGCCAAGGCCTCCAACCCCTTCCTTCCAAGTGGTGAGTGTGTTCTCTGGTGCAGTTCTCCCTGCAGCCCTCCTAAGCAAGCGTCTGGCTGTGTGCACATCCAAGGCAGGCAGACAGACGCCAGGTGAGCCAGTGCACTGATCTTTCCCCATATCTCTCATTTTCTTTCCCTGCAGGAGCTCCAGCCACTGGCCCCTCCATCACCAATCCCTTCCAGCCAACACCCCCTGCAACGCTCACCCTGAACCAGCTCCGTCTCAGCCCTGTGCCCCCAGTCCCTGGAGCGCCACCCACCTACATCTCTCCCCTTGGTGGGGGCCCTGGCTTGCCCCCCATGATGCCCCCAGGTCCCCCAGCGCCCAACACTAACCCCTTCCTCCTATAATCCAGGATGGGATGGAGGCTGGGGCCCCTGGCTTCCACCATTCCTGCTCCCTGGGAGATCAGTGTTGTGAGTGCATGTGAAATGGGGACCCTACCCCCAGTGCCTCCCCCTCCTGGGGCCCACTCACACTACGTCCTCTTTCCATGTCCCCAGCTCACCTCCCCCAAGAGAAACTGGACATGGGGGATGGGAAGGGAGGGGGTCAGCCGGAGGAGGACCCTTTTCCGTGGCATTAGAAGGGGGAGGGACAGCTGGGGTCCCCCCCCCAATCCATTTCCCCTTTCTCCAAACTCCTCACTCTCCCAAATCAGTGTTGGAGCCTCCCTGTGCCCTTTGGACCCCTTGGTGAATCCCTAGTGATGATTTTGGCAACTTCGGGAATAAATGGCAATTCTCATGGGTGTGGCTCCCCCCAAGTTCTCATCCATGGTTCACGTGTCCCTCAGAAGCCCCTTCCCCTGGAGGACCCAGGGCTTGGATCACACACCCTTTCTCAGAAGCACTGATTTTCCTGACCCAGGTCTGGGGTGGGTTGGTGAGGGAGGGAAGGACCTGAGGCCTGGCTGAGCTACAGCTGTGTAGGTAACATTCACTCTCCATGGGCCAGGCAGTCCACAGACACTCACGGGAGGCCCCACTCAGGAGCTGCTCAAGTGCTTGGGTGGGAGGCTTCAGGAGAGATGCTGTAGCTGGTGTTTGGACACCAGATTGAGGTCAGAGGGTGGTTGAGGGAGGAGGTGGTGGTGGGGATACTAAGAATTCTTACTAAAATGGCTCATACGTGCCACACACCATTGTCCTTGCCTGTGCCCATCCCAGGCATCACTGATCCATCCCAGCCTTCTACTGACTGAGCCAAGTGGACCACCAGTTGCCGTCTGAGTGTCCCTGTTGTGTGCTGGACTGCATCTGACAAGAATGTCCAGTGGATGCTGCTGTCATCTCATCTCCATGTACACTTGGTTGTCCACCATCTGTGGTCCATGGGCCTCAAGGGGCTCTGCCATGGCTCTCCTTGGGGTCTCCAGGTTCTCACTGTTGTGCTCGTCATTTTGGTGGCCCTAACAATTCCATTGGTTGGAGGCTTGGTGGGAGCCAGGCCTGGAGATCATCAGACTTCCTTCTTGACTCTTGATAAAAATGGCCTGAGTTTAGGGGACAGGCGGCATATAACAGTGGTACTTGCTACAGTGTGGGAGTCCAGGGGCAGGACATGCCACAGGCAAGCCAGGGCACCCAAGGAGGCCACCCAGGGAGGATGAGACTGGAGCCTCCAGAAAGATCCGCACACTCCAGAAAGATCCGCACACTCCTGCTCCTTGGTGGTCTCCCTTGCATACCTCCATAATGGAGCCTGCAGGAAGGAGCGTGTGCGACTCCTGAGCCTTGGCAATGTGGAGTAAAGGTGTGCTGACACTGGTTAGGGTTATGGCTTGCTGTCTGTTGGCACTGGGGGTACCCTCTGGTCCCCAGAGCTCAGAAACTGGTTCCTGCTTCCTCCTGCAGATTGGGGGTGTTGGAAGTCTTGGGAGAGATGGAGGAGGTGGTCACTCACCCCCCATAGAGGACAGGTGCAGGGGCACTGTCACCCTGTCTAGGGTTCAAGATTGAATGTCTTAGCTCAGCTGGTGAATGGTAGCTGCTTCTTGCATGAGTGCACTGTGTGTTTGGGATGAGTTGCTCCCTAGGAAGAAGAAATGAAAGGTGCCACTTCTGTTATATGCCTGGGCTTCCTGAGCCCCCTGCTGGGGGTTCCCAGGGTGGGTCAAGTGGGGCAGGTGGGGCTCTTTCTTCTGCAGAGCATCTTCCACAGCTCAGCTGGGTAGCTACTCAAGTCAGACTCTCCTGAAAAAGGGTGTTTCGTGATTTCATGCCTCTGGCTGATGCATCTCCTCATGCGAGAAGTCTGCTTGTTAAAGAACAGGTTAGTGCTGCTTGTTGGAGACAGGAAGGAAGACTATCCAGGATCATTGCATTGGTATGGGGGACCTCTGCAATAGGGTTCTGCTCCAGGGTGGAGGTTTGGCTCAACTCTGAATGCAGTGTGACAAGTGGGGATTTATAGCCAAGGTGCAGGGAAAGTGAGGGAAGCATCAGGGGTGAGGGGGACTCTACTCATTGGATTCTCTTTGATAGCAGGCTAGGGTGATCAGACATCACCTGGATGCTGAAAGATGTGTGGAGTGAGTTGTTGCTATACAGCAGAGTTTCATGTGGAGGGTGCAGAGAGGCCTAGGAGAAGGTGGGAGCAAAGTCTGGTCAAGTGAAGAATATGTCAGGCTCGGGGGCCCGAGCTGTGTGTTGGGGAGGACAGAGCAGTGTCCTGATCTGGCATCTGTGCAGAGGGGCTCAAGTGGACAGACACCTCCTCAGAGCTCTTCTGGGATATGGAAGGGGTGGGTCTGGCCTGGCCTGTGCATGGTGCTGTGGGTGGCACAGGTGATTGCTGGGGCTGGGAGGATGGGAGTTGCTGCAGGTCTCCCTTTGCCACAGCTTCTCACCCAGAAACTTCTTCCTAATATCCGCAGACCACAGACCAGCCTCTATCTTCTGCCTCACATCCCACACAGTAGGATGCACGTTTCCTGCACTCAGAGTGTCTGTTTTGGCAAATGGTTTTGCTGGCACCTGGCTGAGGTGGCTCTGCACATGTGTGCAAGAGACTGGTGGCCTGATGCCCAGCCAACTCCCTGCAACAACTTATACTTTGTGCCTTCCCATCCCAAAGATCACAGCCCTTCACACCCATAGAGTTCCAATATACTGTACATGGAGAAGTCATTCCTTTTGTTTCTGACTGGAGGTGTCTTCACAGTTCTAATTTTAGGGATAATTATTTGTTTTGTCTGTTAGTTTAGATATTTGTAATTTCAAAGAGCACTATTTAAAGGTTTTCCTTAAGTACAAACTTACTGGGGGTTTGAATTTAGGGCCTGGTGCTTTACCACTTAAGCCACATCCCCAGCTCACTTAATTTTAAAGTTGCTTTTCAGATAGGGTCTTTGCCAGGGGCTGACCTCAGACTGCCATCTCTGTACTAATACTTTCCTTCTAGTTGGGATGATCAGCATACCACCATGCCTGGCTTATTGATTGAGATGGGGTCTTGAAAATTTTTTAATCTACTGCCTTCTGAGTAGCTGGGCTTGCAGACATGAGTCACCTTAAATACAAATTTTTAAATAGATTTTTTGCACTGCTGGGGATCCAATTCAGGGCCTGGTGCATGCTAGGCAAGCAGTCTACAACTGAAGTATATCCACAGGCCTATGAGTGTTTGCAGGAGCACAAAGGTAGACAAATACTTGATACTTCACACCCCTCCCCCCCAAGCCTAGTGATAGACTCCCCAGTTTCTCCCATCATTCATATTGAGCCAACCCTCCCTGGAACTTTTTTTTTTTTTTAAAGAAGATAGCTCTTCTTTAAAAGAGCTTACTATTAAGAGCTACAGCCATGGCACACTCGTGGGGAAGCCCCTGGCCTCAGTGAACCCAATGTGTTCAAAGGAGAAAGAGTGGCAGAGAGGAGGCTGGTGAAGTGACTTGCAGTATGGCCTCTGTGTTGTCTTGGGGAATGTTCTAATCCTCTGTGTCAGTTCTCCCTTCTCCATGTCTAGCCTATCCCTAATTAGGCATCAGCTCCATCCATGACTGGGGGAAGAGGAATCCAGTTGTCACAGGAAGTGGTGTCATGGGGGCAGTGTGTGTGTGGGGTAGGGAGCTTGAGGTGTCCAGGTTATGGGTTTGCAGTGGAGGGGTGGCACAGGGGTCCAGAGGGACATCCTGGGTTCCTACCTTACTTGGAACACAGGAGTTGGTGCTGTAGAGTGTAAGTCCTTTGGGACACTCTTTTAAAAAATTTTTATTTTTTCTTGGCAGTACTGTGGTTTGAACTCAGGGCCCCTCATGCTTGCTAGGCAGGCATGCTACCACTTGAGACACTCCACCAACTTGGGCCACTTATGTCTAAGGCCCTCCTCTCTCTCACTCACATAACCATTTTATATCTCTGGCTTTACTCCATTTTCTTTGAAAGAAGTGGAAGAAATTAATAAAATGTCTCTTGAATCTGGTGGAGTGACTTAGAGATACTGTTTTTTTCCCCATTTGTAAAAAAGGAGACAATATGAGAAAACCACCTGGAATAGTAACCCACATAAAGAAGGGACTATAAATGGTATTTATGCTGCATCAGTGAGACCCTGTCTTAAATGAAATGAATGGGCTTAAGTGGTAGCTTGCCTAGCAAGTACAAGGCCCTAGGTTCAAACCCCAGTACCACCAAAACCAAAAACAGAATGACTAAACAAAGAACGACAACAAAACACCTGAGCTTTCAAGGCCCTACCTGGCTTGTAATCAGACATTGATTTCACATAGGATGAATGAATGTATTCAGTTTTTCATATGTCCAAGCCATATTTATTCCATTCTTTCACTGTTTCAGTAGAAAATATTTCCTGTGGTTCTCCCCTCACATGCTGAAGTGGTCATGTCTGAGGCAGACTCTGAGGAGGGAGAGCATGTGTGTGCCTTGGTCTGTGTGTGTCTGCCCAGCACAGCATTGCTGCAAGGTGGGAAGTACCTCACCCTGGAGTGCATGCTGGAAGTGTTCAAGCTCGTTTTGGGGGGAAGAAGGAGGTAGCCAGGAATCCTTAGTTATTTTTTTAGGTAGGATCCTGGCTGCCCTGTACCTTAATCCTCCTGATCTCTGGTTCCCTCCCAGGTCTCTGGAATTACAGGTGTGCACTGCCATGCATGACCATAAGTGAGATTTTTTTATTCTGCTACTTCTGGGTAAAGTATTGGGTGGAGTTTTGAGTCTGGTCCAGCAGAGGGCACCAGAGACTGACCTGAGCTTGCAGCCCGAGCAGTGCAGGGTTCTTGGGGAAACAAGTGGGGAATCCCTTTAGGAGCAAGTGCTCCTCCTAGGTAGCCCGCAGACTGGTGAGTACAGAAACTCACTTCCTAGAAACCCTGATCCTCTGCCTCCAACCTCCTTTTCCCTCACAGACACACTTCTCCACACACCCTCTTAAGAAGTATCCATGTGTCTACACTCTCACTCACTCATGGCCTCAGCCCTTCAGCCTGCTCTGCCCCTGCAGCCCAATGTGCCAACATTGTGCTCACACATACACTCTTCTCCCGGGCCCCTTTCTCATCCCAGATGGACAGGTGAGCTGGAACATTCTCTTAATATACACATGCTGAATTGTGTCTTCCCAAATACATATGTTGAAGGTCTAACCTCCAGTCCTTCAGAATGTGACTGTATTTGGAGATAGGGCCTCTAAAGAGGTGATTAAATTATGATGAGGCTGTTATGGTGGACCCTAATTCAGTTCACCAGGCATCCTTATTAAAAATGGTTAGGGTTGGGTGCCAGTGGCTCATGCCTATAATCCTAGCTACTTGGGAGAATGAGATAGGGAGAATCAAGGTTCAAGGGCCAGCCCGGGCAAATAGTTCTCGAGACCCCCCTGCTCCCTGCCATCTCCAAAACAACCAGAGCAAAATGTACTGAGGGTGTGGCTCAAGCAGTTAGAACCCCCAGTTCCACCAAAAAATAAAGAGATTTAGGGCTAGGTGAGGTGTCATATGCCTGTAATCCCAGCTACTGAGGAGGTTCAGGTAGGAAAATTATGCCTTTGAGGCCAGCCTGGGCAAAAAGGTAGCCCAGGTTTGGTTTGTCTTAAAAACCAAAATAAAAACAAAGGGACTGTGGGGGTAGCCGAAGTGGTAGAGTACTTGCTTAGCATGTGTGAGGCTCTAGGTCCCCCCGGGGTGTGGGGGGCAGGGATTAAGACACAGACATGCACAGAGGGAAGACCATGTGAGAACACAGGTTAAGATGGCTATCAGCAGGCTGGCTTCAGTGACTCACACCTGTAATCCCAGTTACTAGGTAGGTAGAGATGAGAAGGATCATGGTCCAGGCTGCTGGGGCAAAAAGTGTGAGACCCTACCCGAAAAACAACTAAAGCAAAAAGGGCTGGGGGCATGGCTCAAGTGTTAAAGCATTACAGCCTAGCAAGTGCAAGGCCTGAGTTCAACCTCATTGCCACCTTTTCCCTCCCCTCCAAAAAGAAGATGGCTATCTGTACACTAAAGAGAGAGGCTTCAGGAGACACCAATATGGCAAACTCCTTGATTTTGGATTTTCCGCCTCCAGAAATGTGAGAAAATAAATTTATGTCATGTAACCCACCCAATCTGTGGGACTTTGTGATGGAGCCCTAGCAAATGAATAGTTCCCACTGTGTGTAGGAATGCATCCACTCACACACTCACACACAACACTCTTGCTCTACCCCCACCTCTGTTACACAAGATCAAATTTGTCCCTCTCAAGTCCCTGCAATGTCATCAACCTATCTCTCCTCAGTGGGGGTCCTGAATTCCCCCAGTCCCAGTGCTAACCCTTTCTCCTAAAACATAGCATACAGGGAGACTTGTCCTGGCCCAGCCTCCCATTTCTGCCCCTGGGAGATAAGCATTACAGGTGCTCCAAAGATGGGCTGGCATAATAAACTTTCCAGCAACAGCCTAGCTATGATACTACACGTCCATGTGGGAGACTAGGGAACCCAGAAACAATGGAAAGTATGGGAAGACTTGCAGATGGGTTGCCCTTTGTGTTCTTCAAGCCACATGCATAGGGCTGGGGCATGACTCAAGCAGTAGAGCACCTGCCAAGCAAGTGCAAGGCCCTGAGTTCTAACCCCAGTACTGCCGCATGTGGGAAGCTGTGGTTGGAAGCCTTGCTGACTTGAGTGTAACCTCATTGACCAAATATTGAACTTCTCAGGTGCATGCAAACACTTAAGGAACCAGTCTTCCAAAGAAATTAGCATAGACATAGTTACTTATTACTGGGAGGTCTGTTTGTGGACTTGTCCACAAAACTTGGTAGGTGTTGGGCCCAGATGGCTCACGCCTGTAATCCTAGCTACTGGGGAGGCAGAATTCAGGAGAACTGCAGTTCAAAGCAAGCCTATTTAAAAAATACCCAATACACAACAAAAATGAGCTGAAGGTGTGGCTGAAGTGATAGAGAAACTGCCTAGCAAGTGTGAGGCCCTGAGTCCAAACCCCAGACCAAACCCCAACCAAAAAATAAACAACAAAACAAAACCCAAAAACTTAATTGGCAAGTTTTTTTTCCCTACCAGAACAAAAGAAAAAAAACCCAAACCCCAGACCACTCAGAAGAAAATAAAATGTAGACTTACTACATAACACATTTCCTACCAAGTCCTATTTCCCTCCTAATCACTAGACAGAAGAAAAAAAAAGGATCATTGTCCAACAAAAACAACAAAACGATCAGTAGAAACTGAGTCCTCTTGGGCCCAGATGTGGGTTTAACAGACCCAAATTTCAAAGCAGCTCTTATCCATACAAAAAAGATGAAATAAACATGTTCAAGGAATCAAGGAAAGTATACTAAGAATAACTGAGCAAATGGGGAAATCTCAAGAGCAAAATGGAAATGATAAAAAAGCTGAGTGGAAATTGTAGGGCTAAAAAATTAGAAAAACTGAATGAAAAATTTAGCAGATGGAACTGGGCACCAGTGGCTTATGCTAGTAATCCCAGCTTCATAGGAGTCTAAAATTGGGAGGATCACAGTTTGAAGCCAGCTTGGGCAAGAAGTTTGAGACCAATTGGTCTCAAAACCAATTGGTGAGTGTGGTGGTCATCCCTGTGACAGTAGGAAGCATAAAATAGGAAGATTGCAGTTCAGGCAATCTTGGACAAAAAGTGAGACCCAATTTCCAAAATAACATGCCTAGCAAGCATGAAGCCTTGAGTTCAAATATCACTGCCACCAAAAACTTTAGTAGGTGGGACTATTATAATTTTTTTAATAGTGCGTGGGATGGAACCTTGGGCATTGCACTAAGTATACCCCCAGCTCGTTATCACGATTTTAATTTTTTTGGCAGTTCCAGGGTTTGGACTCAGGACCTTGTGCTTGCTCCACAGGTGCTCTAGCACTTGAGCCATGTCCCAGACCCTCATCTTTATATGGCAGAAAATAAAGTATTGTCCAATTGAAAATCAGTTTGAAAAGACAGTAAAAGTTAAGAATGATCTCAAGGCTTGCCTGGGTTCAACTCCCAACACTGCCAAACCTAAAAAATTAAGAGTGGCCTGTGGGACGATATCAATCATCAGAACAAACGTGTAATTGCTGTTGAACAAAGAGAGGAAAAAGAACAGAGAAATTAATTGAAGAAATGTGTTGAAAACTTCCAAATTTGGGTGAAAAACATCAATCTTTTCATCCAAGAAGCTTAACAAAATCTAAGATTAAATGAAAAATTATACCCAGATATCATTAGAGTCAAACTATAAAGGCCAAAGGGTAAGAGAAAATCTTGAAAGTAGCAACAGAAATGTCATAAGGTTCAGTTTTCCAACTCATAATATTCACATTTTGTCCTGGAATATTTTTCCAGTACTGGAATTTGAACTCAGGGTCTACACCTTGAACCACTCCACCAGCCCCCTTTTTTTGTGAAGGTTTTTTTTCGAGATAGGGTCTTGCAAACTATTTGTCTGGGGCTGGCTTTGAACCTTGATCCTCCTGATCGCTGCCTCCTGAGTAGCTAGGATTACAGGCATGAGCCACTGGTGCCTAGTTTGGCCTGGAATATTTTTTATGCCTTTCAGGATATTCAGCAACATCTTTGGGCTCTACTCTCTTGTTTTTTCTCTTCAATATTTGTAGGGTCTTTTGTGATGTCCTTTTTTTTTTTTTTCGGTTGTACTGGGGTTTGAACTCAGGGCTTTTGCCAGCCCTTTTTTGTGTTAAGTATTTTCCAGATAGGGTCTTGTGAACGATTTCTCCTGGCTGGCTTCGAACCTCAACTCTCCTGATCTCTGCTTCCTGAGTAGCTAGGATTACAGGTGTGAGCCACCGGTGTCTGGCTGGTAATTTCACTTTTGATTACAGTTTATCTAGAAGTTTATTATTTTGTTTTCACATAGTTCTAGGGATTTCCCAGGGTTCTTTCTCCTGTTTCTGATTGCTAATTTGTTGGGATTAGGGAACAGAGCACATATAATTAAAAAATTTTAAATTAATGATCTAAATTAACAGGGGGGGTTGTGGGGTTGGGCTGGTGGTTCACACCTGTAATCGTAGCTACTCAGGAGAATCGAGGTTCCAAAAAAGGGCTGGTGGAGTGGCTCAAGGTGTAGGCCCTGAGTTCAAACCCCAGGACCTCAAAATAAAATTAATGATCTTTCTTATGAGTACATATGTCCACCGTTGGTGGATACTCAATGTGCACTTGAGATAAAATTGTAGTTTGCAAAGTTACTGGGTGGAACTGAATACACACACGTACGTTTTTACTGTTTATATAAATCTTGTTTCCTTATCATTTAGAAAACCAATGACTGGACATAACCAAATTTTTATTTAGTTTATAAACTTCACCACCCAATACGCTGTTATTATAGACAATAATAAGACATTGCAAGTATATCTAAAAGCTCTGAGTCTTAATGGGAACAGCAATAAAAGCATAAATCCCAAAGGAAACAACCGTGCCAACACTTTATATGTAAAACATTTCCCCTACCTAATAAAATTAGTATTCATGAAATGCTCCATCTTTGTGTAATGCCTTTGCACCACGGGTGTATTGAGCAGACAGACATTCTTAGCTGTGGCTGTGAGCACAGGGCAATTTCCTACAGGTGTGTTTCTGTTTGAAGGTTTATTTGTGTGGCCCAGGAGAAGCTGGAGGATGGAAAATGCCTGGATTCATCACAGGACAGATGGTCAGGGGGTCTTGTTTCTCCTGGGTCGCATTTGCAGGAGTAAAGAATGGTCGCAGTGATTCCTCTGAAGAAATGTCAGTGAATGTGAAGATATGGGTCCCATCTCTAATGTCACAGAAGGAAATGTTCCCCACCTCCACATCCAGAAAGACCCCCAGTCTTCGAAGCCCGGGATTCACGCAGAGAGGAGTCATAGGTGTGGTGCTGGCCGCAAAGAGTTCCCCGTCTCTCAATCCCACAGTCCAGAAGCCATTGTCCGCAGCCAGCACAATTGCCCCTTGTCGGTTAGCGGACTCTCTGCAAACACCCACATCCCACTCTTTGCTTCTTCCCACATCCACCTCCCAGTAATGACGGCCAGAAGTGAATCTTGGGGAGCCCAGGATGCAAATTGATTGGTTGAATCTCTCAGCACACTCCTTCCGATCCTGCTTGACGTGCCCACAATGGACACTCCTCAGGTCATTAGAAATGACGAGGTAGTTGTTAGCTGTGTCCATGTCAAAGGTCATATCCACTGTGGAAAGAAAAACCAGTGGCTCAGCAAAGACATGCTTCTTATAGGCGGTCTTTGCTGTGCCAGTTTAAATTTCAATTTTGAGATTAAGCATTTGCTTAATATGTACTAATAAAAGTAGGAAGAAAATTGAAGTTTTCCTCTGCAGTCACTGTATCCATTTAGTCTGGTTGACTAGCCAATTGCATGCGAAGTGTTTGCTTTTCTGGAATTATAAACAATGAACAGATAACACTTGGAGCTCTGAGAGGAGAAGGGTTAACTCTGGGCAAGTCAAAATCCTGGAAGGGATTTCTCAAGGACCCTAGTTGGGGTCCTGATAGCAGTTGAGATTCAGGACTTGTGGGGTGCCATAGTCTGGATGTTGTTTCAGTATGTCCACCAAGGAAAGCAGAGATGGGCTCAGAGGACAGATAAACTTGGAAAGGTCTTGCATGGTATACTGCCAACATGTCCAAGTAGCCCTTAATATTAGGATGTAGGAGAAGACCTGCTTATCCTAAAGAGATCCCAAGATGAGCCAGTGTAGACCCCAGAAGGAACCGTTGAGACCAGAACCCAATTATCTCACTTGACTTCCTAATGATTTGGCTGAGTGGAACAAGTTAGAACAATTGAAGATGTTGACAAGGATGAAAAACATTTCTGGGACAGAGTTCAGCATCCTAAATTCAAGTTTTCAAGGAGGAAGAAGTAAACCATTAGAAAACATTTTTTTTATAGTTCATGTCATAGATGGAGATATGTGAAAAACACACTAATTGGACAAACACCCAACAGCCACCATTGACAATAAGATTCATTATACCAGGCAAGAGGAATAGAAAGTGGGAGAGGACCATGCATATTCCAGTGAGCCTGGGTACAGGAGTCTGGTGTCTGGACTAGCTTCCTGACATAGCTGAGCTCCCATCATCCATTTCAACTCTTCCTCCTTCCTTTTCTCTTCCTCCCTCCTTCCTTTTTTTGGGCAGTACTGGGGTTTGAGCTCAGGGCCTTCACTTGCAAGGCTGGTGCTCTACCACTTAAGCCATGCCTCCAGTCCTTTTCACTTTGTTTATTTTGGAGATAGGGTCTCTTTTTTCACCCAGGCCAGTCAGGATCATCACCTTCCTATTTTACACTTCTGGCTGTAGCTGGGGTGACAGGTACACACCATTACATCATACCCAGCTATTGGTTGAGATGGGGCTCTCAAGAACTACCTGCCTGGGCTGACCTGGAACTGCCATCTTCTGGATCTCAGTCTCCAAGGAGCTAGGATTACAAGTGTGAGACCTTGAGGCCCGGGGTTTGGGAAATTTTTAACAGCTGTTTACCTTGGAACTTCTTCATCCTTGGGTTCATCTGTAGAACATCTTGCAGCTGGGGCTCTAGTTCCTTGACCTTGGAAGCCACCCTCCCCAGCAAGAAAGCAGTTTTGATGTCTTTCTTCTTAGAGGCCACAGAGCAAGAGGGGCACAGTATTCCCTCCCCATGGGGATCCTTCTGTAGTGATCCAATGCACAGGAGGCAGCAGACATAGCCACATTTCAGGTACATGGGGTTTTCAAAATACTTTAAGCAGATACCACAGGTACATACATCTTTAAAGTGTTTAGCCATGACCGGTGTCTGGGGAAAAATGCATACAATCTTAGAATTTCCATGAGTTGAATGACTACCAGTCTTCATAGGGCACTTTTATATTCACATGCAGTGACATAGCACGTGCCTGTCTGCAGTCACCAGTACTAGATTATGAAGACACAATGAAAACACAAAAATGACCCATGACCCTGAACTTCTGACACCTGAAATGTTACTTGGAAGGAAAGACATCGAGGTTTAAGTTGAGGAGGTTTGAGGGTCTGTACCTGGGCTGTCCAGTATGATAGCCATCTGCCATATGAGGTTATGGAGCACCTGAACTAAACAGACATGCTGTGAGTCTCTGGAAGACTTGATGAGGAAAAGAAAGCCAACTGATTACATGTTGGAGTACTGTGTTTTGAATACTGAAATAACTTAAATCATTCTTCTTTTACTTTTTTATTTGTGGGACTGGGGTTTTGAACTCAGGGTTTCATGCTTACAAAACAGGCACTCTATCACTTGAGCCATACCTCCAGTCCATTTTGCTCTCTTTATTTGGAGCTGAAATCTCTGGATCTGTTAGCCTGGGCTGTCCTCAAACTGCCATCCTCCTGATCTCAGCCGCCCACATAGCTAGGATTACATGTATGAGTCACTGTAACTGGCTCCTCTTTTACTTTCTTTATCAAAGCAAACTAGAATGTCATTACAATTGTAGGTTGTGCCTGTATATTTCTATTTTGAAGAAAAAATAGAAACAGTTTCTGCTGCAGTCGCAGAAACTTTTCAACTTCCTCAGGCTAACCTGAGCGAAAGCCCTACTAGAAACCAAGAGGTTGAACAAGTCAGTGGGGAAATATCCCACCACCATGTAGAGTGGGTCAAACTCTGATTTAACTCAGGAAAATAAAGTCACTTCCCCAGCCTGAGTCTTGAAAATGTATGTCTTGGTGGGCACAGTGGTTCATGCCTGCAAACCCCGCTACTTGGGAGGTTAAGATCAGGGGGATTGAGGTTTGAGGTTAACCTGGGCAAAAACATTATCGAGACTCCCATCTCAACCCTAAGTGTGGTGGGTCTCACCTATAAACCTAGCTCTTCAGAAGGTACAGGTAAGAGGGTCATGGTCTGAGGTGAGCCCCAGGTAAAAATTTGAGATTCTATCTGAAAAATAACTAAAGCCAAAAAGGACTGGGGTGTGTGTGTGTGGGGGGGGTAGAGCACCAATCAAGTGGTACAGGACATGCCTAGCAAGTGTGGGGCCCCGAGTTCAAACCCAGTACCATAACAAAAACTTATGTCCTTTCTCTGCCTGAGTGGAGTTTAGTGTCCCTAAGAGTGCCCACTTGCTAAATAGATAACAAATGACTTCACTCCCCAGACCTTGCTCTGCCCTAGGTAGAGATCTGGGAAGAGGAAAAAAAGTCTGCAAGACTGCATTCACCTCTCTTCCACGTGGCTCTCACTTGGCCTCCAGCTGCTTCTGTTGCCTGCTGAGTTCTGGAGGAGAGCTACCTCCAGGAGCTTTAAGTGGAGAGGCTGCCCTTCCCGCCCACTCCTTAATCCAATTAGATATAGATTAAATTCTGCACAGGTGAGACTTCCTTTTTTCTTTTGAGACAGGGTCTTGTTATGTAGCCCAGGCTGACCTTGAACTTGCCATCTTTCTGCCTCAGCCTCAGGAGTGCTGGAATTATAGGTGTGGGTTGCCATCCGTGGCACAAGTGGGATTTTTATAAAATGCAACGTTAAAAATGTTCAAATGTAGCCGGCTGCTGATGACTCACGTCTATAATCCTAGCTGATCAGGAGGATGGTGATTTGAAGCCACCTTGGGCAAATAGTTCCCAAGACCTTATTTCGAATAAACCCATCACAAAAAGGGCTGGTGGAATGGCTCAATGTGAAGGCCCTGAGTTCAAGCCCCAGCATCACAAAAAAAATCTGTTCAAATGTTTCTTGCAGTTTTAGATGACTGAGAGCATCAGGGTTTGAGGGTGAGAACACAAAATGGGGATGTGGCGGGGAATGGAGGAGGAAGTATAAGGTGCTTAGATTAATGAGTTGATTACTGTCTGGGCACTAGTGGCTAATGCCTGTGATCCTAGCTACTTGGGAGGCTGAGATCGATATGACCAAAGTTTGAAGCCAGACCAGGAAAATAGTTCCAGAGACCCCATCTCCAAAACAACCAGAGCAAAATGGACTAGAGGTGTGGCTCAAGCAGTAGAGTGTCTGCTTTGTAAGTGCAAAGCCCTGAATTTAAACCCCAGTCCGGTTCCCTCTCCCCTCTCCCAAAATTGTTTCATTCTCATTGCTTTTTGATCTATTTAGGGTTTTTTGTACCTTCTTGGTTCAAGTATAGTAGTTCAGATGTGTATAGAAATTTATGTACTTTGACTACGTTTTCTAATTTATTGGAGTACAAGTTTTCAAAAATACCAGTGACTCTGTGGAGCTCAGTGGTATCTGTTGTAATGTTAAGTTTTTCATCTCTAGCTATATTCATTTATATCTTCTCTTTCTTTTGGTTCATTTGGCTAAGGGTTTTTCAGTTTGTTTATCCTTTCAAAGAACCAATTTGTTTCATTGATGCTTTTTTTTTTTACTTTGCATTTTGTTAATTTCAGCTTGGATTTTTATTATTTCTTTCCTTGTACTAAGTTTGGGTTTGCCTTATCTTTGTTTTTCTATGACCTTGAGTTTCATCATGATTTATTTATTTGAGATCTGATTTTCTTTTTTTGGGGGTGGGTACTGGTATTCGATCTCAGCCTCATGCTTGCTAGGCAAGTGCTTATCTACTTGAGCCACACCCCCCAGTACTCTTTCACTTTAATCATTTGCCAGATAGGATCTTGCACTTTGCTAGGGCTGGCCTGGACTGCAATCCTATTTATACTTCCTGCTTGGATGGGATGACAGGTGCATGCTTCCACACCCAGCTTTTATTGTTGAGATAAGGTCTCACTAACTTTTTCTTGGCAGTACTGGGATCAAACTCAGGGCCTTACACATGCTAGGTGAACATTTAACCACTGAACTATATCCCCAGCTGGGATATACACTAACTTTTTGCCCCAGCAAATCTCAACCTTCCGAGGAGCTAGATTATAGGAGTGACCCACTGCATCTGGCTCAAAACCATCTTTTCTTAGATTCTACATATGAGTAAGATAGGGCAGTATTTGTCTGTCTGTGCTGGGGTTATTTCAGATAGCATGATGTTCTCCAGGTTCATCCATATTGTCACAGATAAGATTTTCAATGCTTTTTATGCATGAACAGTTTATATATATATATATATATATATATATGAATAGTATATATGCATGAACAGTATATAGATATATCACAATTTCTTTAGTCATTCACCCCTTGATGAACACACAAGGATGATTCCATGTCTTGTCTATAGGGAATAGTGCTTCAAGAGACATAAGAAAGCAGATGTTCTTTGACATAGTGATATGATATTGTTTGGGTATATACCAAGAAGTCTGTATGGTACTTCTAATTTTTTACTTTTTGAGGAATCTCCTTACTGTTTCCCATAATGGCCTTACTAATTTACATTCCCATCAACCGTGTGTAAGGGCTGTCACTACTCCGCATTCTTGCTGCACTTGTCTTTATTCTTTTTGGTAATAGTCATTCTGGGTTGAATGAGGTACTATGTCATTTTGGTTTTGAGTTGAATTTCCCTGATGAGTAGTAACAGTACGTGGGTTACTTGGTTTGTTCTGTGAGGGTTGGGATCCATTCTCCTCTACCTCCTCCCCTCCACCACCTGGATAGACTTTGTTCGTGTCATTTCCATTGCCTAAACAATCAATTTTAGCATTTTTTGCTTGCTGTTCCTAGCCCCTAGGGTCATTCATCATGAGAATTTTTAGGGCTTTTTAAAACATTTTCTGTGTCTGTTGAGGTTCATGCAGAATGAACTTGTTGTACGGCAAAGACCACTAATTTCTGCAGACCCCCATGTTTAAACATTGTTCTGCCATTCTGAAATCTGCCTTTAAAGTTGGGAACTCATTTCGATGAATTCTAACAGGTGCCTGGTGGTTTTGACCCAGGTGTGTGGATATTTACACCCCACTTTCCCTGGAATGTCTCTCCTTAGATTTTACTCTAGTTGTTTTTTCCTGCAACCCCAACTCTCTAATGGGTTCTAAAAAAATACCAGAAATTGAAGTTAGTTTAGCTGGTTTTCATAAGAGTGAGAGCAATGCTTTTTTTTAGCTGTCTGCATCCAAGGACTGAAGCTACAAGTCCCAGGATATCTACATGGGAAAACAGTAAGCTACTTAAATATAGGTCTGCTCTTATTGCATGAGAAACATATTATTACAGGGGCCAGTAAGGATACTGTGAAATGAGAGGGAATTAATGAAGCTGTTACATGTCTACTGACCTGCATTATGTACGCTATGGAGTCCTTCTGACCCTTGACCTTCCTTTTCTTCCCACTGGAAAATACTGTCTCTTCAGCTCAACTGCTCTTCCTTGTCTTTGTTCTCATTCTTCATCCTCTTGTTTACTGGTCTGGATGTCAACTTCTAGTTTTTCAGGACCTATGAAAATATAAGTACAAGTCCTTAACTCTCAGACACCCTACCTTCCAAGACTGAGTAAGACCTACACTTCCTGAGCTTTAGAGGGCTCTACTTTCTCCTGCTTCCGTACTTTGGCTATTTAGCCCTTTTCTCTGGCTGAATTAAGGGGCCATTACATCTGGTATCGGAACATGGATCTGGCAGCACTGGGAGCCCTATTGGCAATGACTGCTGATATCTTCTTAAAGGAATCCTTTAAGCATGGAGTCTTTGTGCTTTGCTCATAACAACTTTTTGGTAAGAAATGATGATATGATCATAGTGAATTACCTAAGATCAAGTAAGAGAAGTGTGTTGTGTGTGTGTGTGTTTGTAAGCATGATTCATGAGGTGGTTCCTGAGGTGAGACTATTAATAGCCAGCTTGCATGGAACCTGTCTTTCTGCATAACTATGAAGGTGGTAATTATGA